ATCGCAACCCTCGGTGTTGTGCCCGCACCTCGCTCAGCCAGTGAGCGGGAACCGGTCTGTATGTGGGCTCCGAACCCTCGGGCGGGAGCGCCGCCGCGCCTCCCAAGCGGCGCACTATCCAGTGCGCCACTGGGCCGGCCCAAGAACTTTTTTATTTTTGGAAGTTGGTGACTGCAAGGCTAGCACTGCCTCTTTTATAGGTCATAAAATGCCTCTTTGGTCTAACATATATATAGTCCCTAAGATGGTCACCTGTGGGGCCTTGGATTATGTACTCATTCAAGACCCGTCTGCGTTTAGGTAACATGCAATGCAATGCAAGGAATTTTCTTGATGCACGTCATTATGAAAAAAGATATCACATTAAGGAGTTATTGTTGAATTTTTTTAGGTATGATGATAGTATTATATGTTTCCTTTAAATGTCCTTATTGTTTAGTGAAATATTTATGGATAAAATAATATGACATTTGGGATTTGTTTTAAAGTGATGTGGGATGGGCCGGCCCGGTGGCGCACTGCTACAGTGCGCCGCTTGGGAGCGCGGCGGCGCTCCCGCCGAGGGTTCAGATCCCACATACAGACCGGCTGCTCACTGGCTGAGCGAGGTGCGGGCACAACACCGAGGGTTGCGATCCCGTTGCCGCTCCCAGTCCGGTACGGGCGCGACACTGAGGGTTGCGATCCGTTGCCGGTCACGAAAAAAGACAAAAAGGAAAAAAAAAAAAGTGATGTGGGAATGAGGGAAGAAGGGGGTACAGCAGAAACCAGACTGGCTACAAATTGATAATTATTAAAATCGCTTAATGGGGTCATAATGGTACCACAACATTAAAGTGAGATAAAGACATTAAAAAAGATAATAAAAGGAAATTATCAACAATTTAAGTACTCATTTTGAAGATTCTTTAGTTGTTTCTGATAGCCGATTCTACAAAATATTACATGAATTGAGACAGTTTTACTTCTTTTCTAATATGCATGTCCCCCCACCCCCCGTGCTAAATTGAAGTGGAGAAAGTAGACATGCTTGCTTTGTTCCTGATATTAGGGGGAAGGTATTTAATATTTCACCACTAAGTGTGATGTAGCTATAGGTTTCTATTCTAATTGCATTGAGAAGTCATGGCAGGATTTTACTTGCATGAATGACATTATCTAATTTACTTTTTTAAAAAACCGCTTGGGGGCCGGCCCGGTGGCGCACTGGATGGTGCGCCGCTTGGGAAGCGCGGCGGCGCTCCCGCCCGAGGGTTCGGATCCCACATACAGACCGGCTCCCGCTCACTGGCTGAGCGAGGCGCGGGAGCAACACCGAGGCTTGCGATCCCGTTGCCGGTCCCCGGTCCGGCACGGGGGCAACACTGAGGGTTGCGATCCGTTGCCGGACACGGAAAAAAGACAAAAGACAAAAAAAAAAATTAAAAAAATAAAAAATAAAAAATAAAAAACCGCTTGGGCTGCTGTGTGAAGAATGAACTCTAGGAAGACCAGAATCTAGAATCTTTGCGGGAAGACATCCAGAGACTGTTGGGATAGTGCAGGGAAAAGGTGTCAGTGCTTTGGGCCAGAGTGATAGCAGTGGAGATGGAGAGAAGTAGTCGAATTTGGGGGTAGAGCTGACAGGACTTGCTGGTTTGTCAAGTTTTGGGAAAAGGAAAAGAAAAAAAAAAAAAACAGGCTTCTGGCTTAAACAACTAGGTTTATTTCAGAATTGTTTTCCTGTGGATTTTAGATATTTTCGTTATTCATATTCCTCTTTAGAATGGATAATTGAAAGTGGATACAGTATTTTTAAAAATCTAGCCTTAGGTTATTCAGGATTTATTTATTTATTTTTTTTTACAGGTAGAACATTGGAGAAAGAACAATGACTAATATTTATACCAGAGTTTTAGTCAATTTTAGATATTAATGTTCTGAACTAATGTTCTATGTCTTTCTTTTTAGGTTTGTCCAAGACTGGTTTTCAGAAAGGATGGAAGTGGCCAAAGTGGATTTCTCTACAGTGTTACCACGCTTCATTTCTCTCTATATCTTCTCCTTTCTGAATCCGAAAGACTTGTGTGCAGCTGCCCAAGTCAGCTGGCCCTGGAAATTTTTAGCTGAACAGGTTTACCACATGTCACTTCCTAGTAATAGGGCACAAAGACAACTGTAAACTATAATGAGACAACTGGGGTAGCCCCCTTCCCTGAAGATGATAGCTAAGGGTACCTGAACTATAATTACCCTTAAGAGAGAAAAATGGGGATAAATGAAATACAGTAACCTATTTCTTACTTATTTACAGTAAGTAAAGGGGATATACACCATTCCAATAATTTGTGTAATTTAAAAAATCTTTAAACATTCAATATTATTTAGAAAACATTTTTATCTTGGTTAAAGAAGTTCATTTTCCTTTTAAAAAACAATTTAAGCTTTGGTTTTTATACGATATTCTTTTACCCATGATAACTCAACTCTAGAAAATTGCTACACAACCGCAGCTTCAACTGATCTGTCTTTGGCTAACATCTGTTGAAGAATATAAACCTAGATCTTTTAAGTGCAGTTAAAAGCAGTTAATAGCAGCAGCTGTTTGAAATCAACATCCTCTGTTATTAATTTTGCCTCTGGCATTTTTGTCTCTTCATTTTCTTTTAAAAGATTTAATAAAATGTAGTGGGTAGACATACTTTAAATACAAATCAGTGATTTACTTCTTTCAATTATACAAAATTTCCAGGGTGGACTTGTTTTGAGATTCTGATCTCAGAGATTAGCTAGCTCTCTATGCAGGGGCCACAGACAGAGGCTTGCTGTGAGCCTGTATTTACAGCACTTAGAAGGTTCCTCAGAACCCAGGGTTAGTAATGATGTACTGTGTCGTTTTCTTTTTACTTTTCATCTTTCTATGTCCTTATACTTAAGGTATGACTTGTAAATAGAATATGGTGGTAGTAATTGTTTACTGTTTTTTAAATTTGGCAATCTTTGGGCCGGCCCGGTGGCGCACTACTACAGTGCGCCGCTTAGGAGTGCGGTGGCGCTCCCGCCGAGGGTTCGGATCCCACATACAGACCGGCCGCTCACTGGCTGAGCGAGGTGTGGGTGCAACACCGAGGGTTGCGATCCCGTTGCCGGTCCCGGTCTGGTACGGGCGCGACACTGAGGGTTGCAATCCGTTGCCGGTCACGAAAAAAGACAAAAAGGAAAATAAATAAATAAATAAATTTGGCAATCTTTGACTTTTAACTGAGGTATTTAGTCTGTTGATATTTATGTAAATATTGATGTATTTGAGTTTAAGTCCATCATTTTACTATTTTTTTTTGCTTGTACCACCTATTTTATGTTTTTTTCTATCCTGGTCTTCCTTTCAATTAATTACATTTTTTGATTGTTATTTATAAATTCTTTAACAGTTCTTCCATGGTTACCATAGAGATTACAACATGCATCCTTGTGATATTTTACCATTTCCAAGACAATGCAAAAAGTTTAGAACCTTTTAACTCCATTTACCCTCTTTCAGTTTCTGTAGTTTTGTTGTCAAAAATTTTTATTTTTTATATATAATATAACATATAAATAATAAATTAGAAATTATAATATATATTAATATATAGCAATATACCTGAATTAAACACATAATGCACAACACATATCTCAAACTTTATTACTCTTTTTTTATATAGTCAATATTTATTTATATGTAACCACATATTTATTTTTTCTGTTGCTCTTCAAATCTTTCTGCATCTCTGGGTTTCCATTTGGGATCATTTTCCTTCTGAATTCTCTTTAATATTTCTTTTAGTGCACATCTGCTGCTGACTTCTCTTAATTTTTGTTTTGTCTGAAATACCTTTATTTTACCTTCATATTTGAAGGGTATTTTCATTGGGAATGGGAATTCTATGTTGGAAGTTTTTGTGTGGTTTTTTTTTAAATAGAGCTTTGAAAATATTTCATTGTCTTTTGGCTCCCATGCCTTTTTTCATGAGAAGTCAGAAATGTTACTGTTGTTTCTTTAAAGTTAATATTTCTATTGTTCTCCAGCTGCTTTTTGGACTGTTTTGTTTTGTTTTCAGCATTTTATTATAATGTCCCTAGGTGTGTATGTCAGTGTATGTGGTTCTTCAAACAGTTGATAGAAAGATTGATGTTATCTTTTAATTCCGTTTTTCCATGAATTTTTTGATGTACCTTCAAATGTGTGTATATTCATCCTGTTTAGTGTTTTACAGTGATTTTTGAATCTGAGATATAATGTCTAACATCAGTTTCGAAAAGTTTTCAGATGTTACCTCTTCATATATTGTTTCTATCCCATTCTCTCTCTTTTTCTCCTGAGACTCCAATATTTATATATTAGATTGATTCATCATATTCCAAAAGTTTCACATTCTCTTATATACATTTTCTACCCTTTTGGCCTTCGGTGTTTTAGTATGGATTTTCTTCTTACCTATCTTTCAGTTTATTGATTATTTCTTTAGCTGGATTCTAATCTGCTCTTAAATGCATCTGTTGGGTTCTAAATTTAATTTATTATGTTTTTCAGTTCTAGAATGTCGATTTGATTCTTTTGCCAAAATTTTTCACTTAGTCACTTACTTTCTTAGACATATTAATTATAGGGTGTGTTATTTTTCAAAGCTCATGCCTGATAGTTAAAATGTCTGGATTTCCTGAGTGTCTCTCTATAGTTACTAAAAACCAACAGAAGAAACAAACAATTCTTGTCTATTTGTATGTTTTGGTCATTTTTGATTGAGTACCAGATTCTGAGTATAAGACATTGATGGTCAGCTGCAAAAAAAAAAAAAAGAAAAGAAAAGAAAAAAAAAAGGATGGGCTGATTGGAGTCTCTGGATGATGTTATCTTCCTTCAGAGAGAATTTACTTTTGCTTCTGGCATTTGGTTAGGATACAGACAGATCATGTAAATCCAAAAGGGATGAGATATTTCAAAGCTGGCTTCAGTTCTTGTGATAGTTTAATTCATTATCATCCTTCCTGAAAAGGATCTTAACTGAAAGCCTGTGAGTACCAGACTCTTTCCCTTAGTGGGCCCTGAATTTCAATTTGTCTATTCTCTTCCCTACGAGAATGCCTAAAATTATTTATGGTTTCTAAGCTTTCTAAGTTAATAAGCTTTTCTTTGAAACTAGCATATCCTTTGAGGTAAAAAGCAATGCCAAGTATCAGGCTTATCTCTCTGTTTTTTTCTTTTTTTCTGGGGTTTGGGTTGCATAAATCTCTGTTGCATTGGTAGACCTATAATATAGCCTTCAAATAATTTTTTTAGTAATATTTTGTCTAGATATTTGATTAGATTAAATCATATGTCAAAATGGTTGCATATCAGCAATATCATATGGTTCAATCAAAATTTTTCTCAGTGGGGTGGTTGGTCTGAAACACATTACTACACCATTTCCAGAAGCTGAATTCTCAGAGTCTAGGGTTAAGTAACCAAATACTATTGGAACATTGGATAAATGTCATAGAGATGACTAGTACATATATTTATAGAATATATATATATATATATATATATTCAAAGAATATTTTTACTCTGGAGTATGCTTCTTACTTCTGAGTCAAGTGTAGATGGCAAGTCAGTAGCACCAGTAACCTCAGTGTGATTAAAAAAAAAAAAAAAGGTCTGTGTACCTGATAACAGTATTGTTAGAACACTGTCCTAAAAAAAATTTGCAACTCATCTTTCTCTCGTTTCTTTTTCTGAAGGATTGCTTATGGATGCCCAAGTGCATTAAGTTTGGATGGTTTCTGCCCTTTACTCCAGCAAATAATGAGTACGGTGCTTGGAAGCACCATTACATTGCTTGTGTGTCCACCTTGGATTGGCTAACACCTAGGGAAGCTGCTGATATTTATGGGACACTGAATGAACCCAAAAGAGAAGATGAGGAGCTACAGGAGAGACAAAGAGAAAAGTGCCTAAGGAAAATAATTTGGGAGAAAATTGCACTGCGTAAGAGTGAGTAGCATTTTAAACTTGATGCCTTATCCAAGTATCGTAGAAACAAATGGATTTGCATGCAAATTCCCACAGAGGAGGATAGTGCTATCTTTCTGGAATAGCTTGAGGGTGGCACTCCTGTGTGTGTGTGTGTGTGTGTGTGTGTGGCAGGTCACAGGGATCAACCCTGGACCTTGGTGTTATCAGCACCATGCTGTAACCAGCTGAGCTAACCAGCCAGCCCGATACTCATTAAAGTATGCTCAGGGCCAGCTCTTTTTTTCTTCCTTGTATATTTCAAATTCATTGATAAGAAAAACAAAAAGAGTTTAGATGAAGTATATAAGGTTAAATAGCAGTGCCTCCACTGCTGTCCTAGTTCCTCTCGGGGACATAAGACCAAAAATAAGGAGGAGAAAGAAGTACGACCACAGGCAAAAGCAAACACATAGGTTCAGGACAGAAGAATTGGGGTTGGTGAAAAAGGGGGAGAAACAGAAATGGGAATGGCAGCAGGAAGAATGGCATTGAAAGAAAAATTAAAAGTGGAAAGAGAGTAGAGACAGGACATGCTTTCAGCTAAGCCTTCCTAGTTGCACAGTGGATAAAGAAAGCAATAAAACAGATTTGAGTTTTCCCACCTTTTTCTTTCACTGACTCACCCTCTGGTGAGATGGGAAGTTACCTGAAGCCCAGAAGAAGGGCAGAAATGGATGTGAAGCCTATAAATCGATTAATTGTCTCCATGAGAAAAGAGTTGCTTGTTCTCTGCGCTTTGTTTCTTGAACTGAAATGACAGTGCTGAGAGGGTAAGAAATCCAAGTAGAGCATGTGAACATGGCTATGAATTATCACCATCTGGAATACTGCCGTGGTACAGCTTTACTTTTGATGCCTTTATCTATGTAGACTTGGCTGGGAGAAGCATGAAATAAACAGCCGAGCCTGCTGCTGTTTGTTTTTCAGAAGAGTTATTCAAAGTTCGACCCCCTTGGGTGAGTGGAACATGCTGCTCTAGATTGTTGCAATCCCAGTGCCAACCACGGCTCTCCCAGAGTGTGAGGGATCAACTGGGTTTACACGAAGCTTTGGAGAAACAGCTTGTTTTGGCATCGGCAGAAGCCTTGCCCAAGCGGTAAGCAAACTTCCAGCTACTGCAGGCTGGATATCATCCCCTGATACCAAGAATTAATTCTAGAATAATTTAGCTCACATGTAAGGATCTTGAATAATTATGTGGCTCATATCCTAAGACATACAAGTAAAAATAGTTATTTAATTTTGAATAACACAATCATTAACATGCTTTCTGAAGAGGGAAATATAAAACATTTAAAACTTACATTTCAAATATTCTCTTTTAAAAAATATAACAGGGATATACATATTTATTTGTTCAAATAACAAATACATAAACTGAATAACAGATGAATAACAAAATATTCTGTAGAAAGTAGGGCTCCTAATTTTCACAAAAACTGGAGATGTAAAACTTATTAAAACTTACATATTTCATTTTATAATCTCCAGAATTATTTGAAATAGATCTCTAAAGTCTTCCAAAAGCATGCAAATATCAAATTAATGTCAACAGAGAAAGATGGATAAATTTTTTAAAGGCAAATTAATTTCTAAGCAATCAATAAGTCCTCTTAATAAAAAGAAATCAAGAGCAGAAATTAAATATCTAAGTTTAGCAATATAAACTGCATTAAAAAATCAATAAAACAGAATCTAAACACAAGGGCACTTCCAAAAGCTTGTGGAAAAAAAGAATTGAAAGACAATAGAAATCTTTCCATGAACTTTGTTTACATTTTTCTTTTCTTTTTTTTAAAGACTAAGATTATAGAAAATATGTTCCCTGACCACAATAATGGAAGGACATTTAGAAAACTCACAAATGTGTGGAAATTAAATAACATTCTCCTAAATAAACAATGGGTAAGAAGAAAAATCACAGGGAAATTAGAGAGTACTTTGAGATAAAGATCAAAGCACAACATATCAAGATTTTTGTTATGTTGGGCAGGGCTCATGTGGTGCTTAGAGGAAAATTTATACTTGTAAACACCTATATTAAAAATAAGGAAAATCTCAAATCAGTAATGTAAACTTCTATCTTAAGAAAATAGAAAAAGTAGAGCAAATTAAACCAAAAGCAAATACAAGTAGGAAATAACAAGGATTAAAACAGAAATGTATGAAATAGGGAATTAAAAAACAATAGAGAAAAAAATCAACGGAACCAAAAGTTGATTCTTTAAAAAGATCAATCAAATTTGCAAACCCTTATCTAGACTGATCAGGAAAAAAGAGAGAAGAGTAAAATCACTAAAATCAGAAATAAAGTAGGGGCACTATTACATTATCACTACAGCTTTTTGTGGTGGTAAGATTTAGTTTTTTTCTCATTCTCATTTGCATTTTTGTTCTACCAGTGAGTTTTGTTCTTTCTTGTGGATTTGTGGTAGTGATTATCGTTTTTTGGATTCCAGATGTAGGACTCCCTTGAGCTTCTTGCAGAGCTGGTCATGTGGTGGTGAACTCCTGCAGCTTTGGTTTGTCTGGAAAATATACTACTTTTCCCTCATTTCTGAAGGATAGCATTGCTGGATATAGTATCTTGGTTTGCAGTTGGGTTTTTTTTAGTATCTTGAATATATCATCCCATTTTCTTCTGGCCCAAAGAGTTTATGTTGAAAAGTCTGTGGTTGGTCTGATAGGGGTTCGCTTATAGGTGATAACACTTTTCTCTTGTTCCTTTTAAGATTCTCTGTCTTTGAGCTCTGCTAATTTGACCATAATGTATCTTGGAGAGGATCTTTTTGTGTTGAATCTGTTTGGCGATCTTTGAGCCTTCTAGATTTGAAGGTCTGTGTCTCTCCCTGTACCTGGGAAGTTTTCTGTTATTATTTCAGTGAATAGGTTTTCCATGTCTTTCCTTTCTCTGCCCCTTCTAGGACACCCATGATTTGAATGTTTGTGTGCTTAAGGATGTCTGATAGCTCTCTTAGATTTTCTTCATTTTAAAAATTCTTTTTTCTTTTTTTTTTTTTGTCCACCTTGGTTATTTCAAAAAGACTATCTTCAAGATCAGAAATTCTTCTGCTTGTTTTAGTTTGCTGCTTAAGCTATCAGTTGTGTTTTTTATTTTGTTGAGTGAATCTTTCAGTTCCATGAGTTCTGCTACATTCTTTTTTAAGGTATTATTCTCTTTGTTAATTTCCTCCTTCACATCCTGAATTTTTTTTCTCATTTCATTATGTTGTCTGAGTCTTCTCATATCTCAGTGTATCTCATACTATATAATGAAATTACAACAACTTGCATCTCATACTGTATAATGAAATTACAACAATCTTAAGATTGTTGCTTGGAACTCCTTTTCTGTCATTTCAAGGGCTTCTTGCTCTATAGGATCTGGTATTTAAGAATTACTGTATTATTTTGGTTGTGTCATGTTTTCTTGGGTTTTTTTATTTCTAATAGCTACATTGATGTCTGGTCATCTGGTAGAGCAGTTGCTTCTTCTATTACTCTGGAGTGGGCTTTGAGGAGAGAGACGTCCTCCCTTTTTCCAGTCTGTTGGTGATTCTCCTTGTGTAAATGTATTGAGTGTCCAGAGGGCTGCCTGAATGGTGGCCGTGGCTGCTGTGGAGTTGAGTTGCTTTTTCAACAACTGTGGCTGTAGTGGGCCACCTGCATGAATGTGGTGTTTTTGGAGTGCTCTCTTGCCTGCTTTCGGATGGGGGGTGCTGCCCTCAACTCCTTGCCTAGGACCCCAGGTGTGCTATCTTACCTGCTTCCATGTGGAGGGGGCTGTGGCCCTCGGCTCCTTGCCTAGGAACCCAGGTGTGCTCTCTTGCCTGCTTTTGGATGGGGGGTGCTGCCCTCAACTCCTTGCCTAGGACCCCAGGTGTGCTATCTTACCTGCTTCCATGTGGAGGGGGCTGTGGCCCTCGGCTCCTTGCCTAGGACCCTGGGCATGCTGTCTTGCCTGCTTCTGGGTGGAAGGGGCTACAGCCCTTGGCTCCTTGCCTAGGACCCCAGGTGTGCTATCTTACCTGCTTCCATGTGGAGGGGACTGTGGCCCTCGGCTCCTTGCCTAGGAACCCAGGTGTGCTCTCTTGCCTGCTTCAGGGTGGATAGGGCTGTGGCCATTGGCTCCTTGTCTCTCAAATATTCTTAATGCTGCAGTGAGGCTATACTGTGGATGTAATACATTTTCTGTATAAAGTTATTGAGCAAAAATAACGTTTTCCCACAGGTTTTTATGGAGTAAGAGTATCCAAATAATATTGAAATATAACTTCCATTTATGTTTGTATGTCCAAATATAATTCTTTTATTACCCCAAATAGAGAAATGTTGACTGTATTCAGAAATCAAAGTCATACTGTGTAATGAAATTACAAGAATTTCAATTCTTACTCTGTTCATCCACTCTACCTGACATTCATAATTACCTCAATTTGTGCAGCTGCTTAGAAAATTTTTAAAAACTTTTTGCTTTGAATTCTAGAGATAATGTATGATTTCTAGATGTTTCAAACGAGGTAACTGAGGTCTAGCAAGGTGATATAATATAACATGCCCAAGTGTCGTAGAGTCAAACACTAGAACCTAAAATTCTCAAAATTCCAACACTCTTTTAACTTGACCACTGACACTACGTGTGGATCTCTTATGTCTGGACATTTTGAGTGCGTGCATGTACATTCACTAACTCAAGACACATAGAGCCTTTTAAGAAGCACAGGGAAGCTCCTGTTGTGGGTAATGTGGGGGTGGGTTGATGTGGCTGTGGAGAGGATGGAGACATTGCTGAGAAACCCCTCAGGCCCAGAAGGAAATTTAAAATCTCTTGGCTACTTCTTTTTAAGTGTTGTTTTGAACCCCTACATATGCCATTACATTCATTTTAAGTGCCCCAAGGAGCAAAGTAAGTTCTAAGAGACCTTTCCAGCTTCCCACATGAAGAAAAGGAGAGGCTCAGAGGGCAGATCTGGGAGTCCCATTTGCTGTTGTCCCCCAAGCCACAGGGAGAGTCTACAGCACTGAGGCCATGTGCCCTGTAGAGTACAACTGATGCCCAGAGGACATACTGCTGCTTACTCATCGAAAATCAAGAGAAAATGAAATCTTCCCTTATTCCCCCTTTTTCCCTATAGAAGCAATGTTTCTGGAAGCCACTCCTACCCTTTATTATCAAAGAAAAATCAGCATGGAGTTTATAAAAATGATGACAGCTGTTCATATGCTTTCCTGCCACACTTCATATTAATATCATCTCGGATTCCTGCATATGAGGTACAGAGTGTGTTATGAGGCCAGCCCTTTCCTGAATCATTTTTTCATATAAACTAGAGGGTGTATGGCAATCTTTCGGCGACCACGTGTATGAAAATGATTCATCTCCTAAAAGGAAAATCGTCTGATCTAAGTGGAAATTTAAAGATCCCGAACAGTTTTTAAAATCGAAAGCAATAAAGATTGCCATAAATCAAAATTATTTTGAAAATGCATTGAAGACCAAATTGCCTTGCACTTAGTAGGTGTCCAATAAATTCTTATCGTATTGAATTTCTTGCACTTAATCCCCCCAAAAAAGCACAGTGATTAAGAATTATTTTAAAATTTCTCTGTAATTCCAAAAGAATTTAATATTATTATGTAACCACCATCTCCAAAAGAAGAATGTCTGAAATCCTATTTTGTGATCTGTTTAATGAGGGCACCATTATACTGAAATATGCTCTTTCTGTAATAAGGTTATATATTTTAATTTTAATATGAATAATACAAAAAATAAAGAGAGCACAAAGAAGACAGGAAGACAAATGTATTTTTATACATGTCTGAATGAATATGTATGTACATATGTGTACATGTACTAGGGCACTTCAAAAAGTTCATGGAAAATTTGCATTATTTTAGAATTCTATTTTTCCATGAACTTTTGAAGTACTGTCATATATATTAATACACACACATAGGGACATATACTTAGCAAAGTTTTCAAAAAAGTTCCTATTTGTAACAAAACGGCTGTTTTCATATTATGAAATCACTTCCCCTTCTATGCATCTAGGAATTGGCTCTAATCATTGACAACTGGCGAGCTCAGTGGACCCACATGAAAGCCAGATCACAGCTTTGATCTCCATGTGGGACACAGATAGTTTCCCTAATGTCTAAAAACGCAAGCTGAGCACAGAGAATGATCAGTGACAGTGTGGGTGGATAAATAGGTTAAGTCTATTCCCGTTTGTCCTCTTTATAGAAGACTATGGCATAATTACTTATTTGATTATACATGCGGTAGGGGTTTAGGTAAAAAGCAGGACATAACCATGTGGTAGTTCTCTGTTCACTTGCACTGTGACCTCCAGGAAGTGGCATGAGGTTTTGGAAAAAAAATCAGCAACCTCAATGAATTTTCATCCTGTCTGCTGCTATGAATTAACTTTATCATAATAAAAAGTTTACTTGGTTGTTGAATTCAAAGAAAAGTGGTTTTAATATTTATTAAAATGGGGAATATTAATATTTGTCAAGCAATATTGATAATTCAGAAATTGATAAGAAGAAAACTTTAAATCTATTTAAGAAGTTCATTGCAAAATTGTATGATCTCATTTTTATTATTTTTTAAAAGTTATCTATATGTCTCTGTGCATGGTGTATACAAAGATAAAAAAGTTGGAAGAAGATCACGGTGCTCTTTTTTTGGATTAAGTACAACAAATTCATTTCAGTGATAATCTATTGGATACCTACTAAGTGCAAGGCAGTTTGGGCCTTTAATGCTTTTTCAAAATAAGTACTTATTCTGAGTAATGGAGTTATGAGTGTACTTAATTTTCTCCTCTTATAATTAGAAAAGAAATAAAATAATTTTTAAAGAAACCAATAAAGGGGGAAGCTCATATTCTTCCATAATTTCTGAAAAAATATTTAGAAATCTCAGCATATTATGTATATATTATATTTCTTTCATTAATAAGTATTCTAAAATAGTGGGCTTTGGTGTTGATAGCTTTGGTTTCATTTTCTAGATGGTGGTGGAGAGTGTTAAGGCCGGTGTCATTTCCGTGGTATATGAACACAGCGGCATGACCTTGGAGACTTTGTTTGATCGCATAGAAAAAGCTCTGGATGGGTGGAAGGCAAAGAGTATAGGAATATTTAGCGATGGAGATAGCAGAGAAATCAATTTACTCCAAGGTAGGACTGGGGATTGGCAAAGAACAATCAGACAACTTTGCGCTGATGCTGTTTGTCCCTACAAGTATATATGACCTTCAAAGTTCAGGCCAACCCCGTGGCGCACTTGAGAGAGTGTGGCGCTGGGAGCGTAGCGACTCTCCCGCCGCAGGTTCAGATCCTATATAGGAATGGCCGGTGCACTCACTGGCTGAGCACGGTGTGGGCGACACCACACCAAGGGTTGCGATCCCATTACCTGTCACGAAAAAGACAAAAAAAACCCAAAAAAACAAAGTACTATTTAAGTTCCAATTTGCTAAGAAGTGTTAATTTTGACTTTATGAAGAAAGAGGAGCAATTTTTTTAATGATTGTTTTTTAAAGTTCTGATTAAAAATACATATAAAATAAAGTTGCCATCTTAACCATTTTTAAATGTACAATTCAGTACTTTGAAGTATATTCATATTGTTGTGAACCAGATCTCCAGAACCTTTAAATCTTGCAAAACTGAAACTCTGTATGCATCAAAAAAACAACTTTTCCCCTCCCTATAGCACCTGACAACCACCATTCTGTTTCTACGAATTGGAGCACTTTAGATATCTCATATAAGTGGAATCACACAGTATTTGTCTTTTTGTGACTGGCTTATTTTACATAGCATAATGTCCTCAAGGTTCATTCATGTTATAGCACGTGACAGAATTTCCTTCCTTTTTAAAGGTGAATCATATTCTTTTTTTTTTTTTTCCTTTTTGTCTTTTTTTACTGACCCGTAACGGGATCGCAACCCTCGGTGTTGTGCCCGCACCACGCTCAGCCAGTGAGCGGGAACCGGTCTCCACATGGGATCCGAACCCTCGGTGGGAGTGCCGCTGCACTCCAAGCGGCGCACTCTCTAGTGCGCCACCGGGCCGGCCCAAGGTGAATCATATTCTAATGCTTGTATAGACCACATGTTGTTTATCCATTCATCCACTGATGGACATTTAGTTACTTCCACCTTTTGACTATTGTGAATAGTGCTGATACAAACATAGGTGTGCAAATATTTCCTTGAGATTGTACTTTCAGTCCTTTTGGATATATACCCAGAAGCAGGATTGCTGGATCATATGGTAGTTCTATTTTTAATTTTCTGAGGAACTTACATACTGTTTTCCATAGCATTTGTACCCTTTTATAATTTCATCAACAATGCACAAGGGTTCCAATTTCTCCACATCCTTGTCAACACTTGTTACTTTCTGTTTTGTTTTGTTTTTATAGTATCCATCCTAATGGATAGGAGGTAATGTCTCATTATAGTTTTCATTTGAATTTCTGTGATGATGTCGAGGATCGATGCATGTTGGCATGTATATCTTCTGTAGAGAAATGTCTGTTCAAGTCCTTTGCCCATTTTTAAAGTTGAGTTGTTTGACTTTTTCGTGTGTTGAGTTGTAGAAGTTCTTCATATATTCTGGATATTAACCTGTTATCAGATATATGATTTGCAAATATTTTCTTACATTCTGTAGGTTTCCTTTTCACTTTGTTGATTGTGTCCTTTGAGGCACCAAAGCTTTAAGTTTGATGGAGTGAAGCAATTTTAATAGCAGCAAATACCAAGATCTATAAATTGCTGTGCACTGACAACATTCGTTATACTCCCACTTGGCTTATACCACAAAGGAAAGGAATGGCTGACATCATGAACTTGTTAAATGGCGGCTTTCAAAAATCTCAGTGATTATTCTTTTCTGGAGGAAGGAGATGATGAATGTTTTAGAAGTAAACTTCTAGTTTCTGTTCTTCTTTATATAACTTGCATCCTTCCTTGCTTATACTAAAAGTAGAATTGTTTTAAATTTTACCAACATAAAATCTTTTATCCTTGTGGGTGAGGGAAGAGAGGGAGAAAAATGGTTAAGGATCCAGCTGGCAGAGAACTTACAAAATGGCAGAGTGAGTCCCTGAATCACCCATCAAACTGCCATCTCTGGGGCTGGAACTCAGCATACTTGGAACAGTTTCAGTGAATTTTATTATTGGCAAAAACTAACTGCTTTTTGTTTAGCTTTACCTTATTTTGGGCTTTCCTTATTTGGTTTACCTGTGCCTGGAGTAAGTTGTGTTCCATATTCACTTTTGTATATCCCCCCAGAGTAAACTCAGGTGCTATTTGTTTGGGGTTTAAATTTATGATGAATGACATGGTAACTCTTCTGTAGATGGTGGAGAGGCATCACCTGCAAGTTTATATTATGGCAGTAAGTTCACCTCATATGGAGTAGCTTATTAAAGTTTCCTGATCTCAGCTTTTTCTTCTTCAGATGAGAAAGGATTCCAAACTCTGCCTTTTCCTTATTATTTTTTTAAAGTAATAGTAACAATAACAAAATACCTCAAGGAACTAGTTTTCTTCTATATAATTGTGGTGTCTTCCCAAAAGCTTTTGCTTTAAAAATGACACCAATGCAAAATCTCTTATCGCATCACTCAAAGAGGTCCTTGCATCACACATCTGAGCCTCTCACTGGGAAGGAGTGAAACATCAGGATTCTGGTGCCTGACCTTGTTTTCATTTTATTATTGGGGACTGGGGATGCAGAGTATCTACGAGTCCTTTAGATATAGGTCCAGACACATGCAGCGTAGCAGAATCGTCGCACAGAATTCCTAGGAAGGGAGCAAAAAGGAGAGTTTCAGGTGGTGGTTACCATTTAAAGGAGCCTTACCTCTGCTCTGAACTACTTATTTCTTGATTAATAATTGTGGAAAGCATTTCTACTTTGGAACTTGGTTGCAAAATCCCAGGACTTTACTGACCATCCACCCTAAACCCTGCATGAGCCTGGTAACTCACACTGCTGCACAGTGAAGACAGAAACACAGCGTACGCCTACCTGCACAGTGTCCGACTCATCCAGAATGAGAAGCAGGCTATGGCCATGGTGGTGTCCAGTGGCACCTTTTGTAGCCCTAACATGGTGCAGCATGAAGCAGAGGTGCCCTAGAGATCTTGGTCTGACAGGGGGTTGTTAGCTTTTTGAATGTGGGGTTACATTTTCACAAACTGCTAAGAGTTTCTGTTCATGATAACGTGACAAACTAATATGACATTTTGATTTTTTCCTCAGGATATAAAATTGGTATTAAAAATTTATTGAAGCCTGAAGTGAGAGACTTCTGGGAGAAATTAGGAAGCTATGTGGCCACTGAAGAAGAAGGGGGCCATGTGGACTTCTTTGTGCCACTTGGAGCGTCAGGTCAGCTTTGAACACACTGTAGAAAGATGGTGGTCATGCTGACTTTATGATGATATCTTGTGAATTTGTGAAATGCCCTCAGGTCAAATGATTCTGTCACATTTCACTCTTTATCTTTTTCTCTCTGATACCTCACATACCCAGGTATTTGGAGGAAGAAGGGATTAGGGATAGTAACCTGTCTCTGCAGAAATAAAGTCATTAATGGCAAGACCCAGCAGCATTATTTGTATTTATTCTGGAAAACACGATAATATCAGCCTCCATAATATACGGGAAGGTGCCTGACTAGCATGGGGAACAGAATCAATCTGAGAGAACTTCCTCTGCTGTGTACTGAACCTTCTGTGAGCATGAACTTGGTGACCAAGAACTTGAACTTGAGTCCTGCTCATGACACTTTTTAGCTGTGTAGCCTGTGGCAAGTTTGTGTACCTCCATTTGAAAGTTAGGATAATAGTACATTATCTTACCTTAAGGACTTGTGAATACCAAAATAATAAAAATATTTAAATAATAAAAATAAATAATAATGTAAATACTTAATATTAGCAACAATGAAGAGCTTTTTAAAGATGAGTGTGGCAGGTGATCATTGAGGTTGCTGATATATGGGGGTACTTCAACAAGTTCGTGGAAAAATAGTGCTGAAAGATATGACTCTTTCCGTGACCTTTTTGAAATCCCCTTGTAATTTTAAATGCCTGTCTGTCTAGAGTCAGCCAGCATGATTCAAAGTTGATTTCAATGCTTGAAGAGAAATTTCAGATATATTAAGTCAAATTCACTCTGAATATTTGCTAAAGTCTCTGCGTTCACTAGCTATGTTGTTTTACAAAGCAGAGGAAGGAAGAGGAAATGTGAAGTTTAATTTTCTCAAACTGTTTCTTATTATCCATTCCTTAGGGAACTGTGAGTTTTAAAATTCTTCCTAATCCTCAGATTTCACAGGACTATTCAGTATGTGCAAAGCATGCCCTTGGCAGGCTTCAACCAAACGGAAGGAAAAGACAAAAAGGATGGGAAGGGGTTTAAAAGAAAACACAATACTGTGAAACATTTTGTAAATAATTTTACAAGGTTAGTGCAATACATATATGAAATCTCAGCTATGTAGAAAATGTGCCTAGAAAAATCTAGGAGAAAATATACCGAAATTTTGACAGCATCTATTTCTAGATGTGTTTTATAATTTTTCTACTTTTGAAATCAGTTTTAAAAGACTACAAAGAGTATGAATGGTGTAATCCTGGTGTTTAAAACATGTGTGTGGGTGGGTGGGGAGGGTGGTGGTGGTACATGTATGTATAGAAAAGGGTTTTAAAGGATGTATACCAAGGTGTTAACATTAGTTGGATAGGATGATAAGTGCGTTTTCCTTTTTTCCTCCTTTTTAAAAATGCCTTTGTCTGCCTCTATCTTCTATAATAAACTAAAATTACTTTTATAATAAGAGCAAAGCAAAATTTTCAACTGGAGTAGAAGGAAAAGAAAGGCTATGGGAAAGTAAGAGAGTAAGGGAAAGGGAGAAAAGAACCGTGGATTTGGTGACATAAAAATTGTCTCAAGTGAAACTTAATAGCATCCAAAAAACAGATCCCTCACTACCATTCTGGGCCCTAACACCACCACTGCAATTCTCATCAAATGTAATATCCGTCTGGATGAACCATCAAAGACCCTTGTCTTAGTCAAAAAATCCCTTTTTCCACCACCTCAGGCACCACTCTTGAGTTTGTCATCCCCAGTAGTTGTCTCTCCTCTGAAATCTTGATGTCAGGCATTCGTTCTGAGTACCACCTCTATATCTTGTACTCCAGTGTGCCCACCTCAGCAGTTCTTTGCCTGAAGCCCTCCACTCTATGTGTTACTGCTTTTTCACTCTCTAGCACCAGGCCTTAATCCTCGCTTCCTTCCTTGTTAAACTTGGATTTAATAGCCCAACGTTATCATCACTCCCTCACAAAGAATATGAACTTCCTTGTCTCCCTCTCTCCTGGCTAAATCCCACTCATTTGGCTAAATCCTGAATCTAGTTAGAACACAGCTATCTGCATACACCGTGCACAGCACCACGCACTTTGGTGCACAGCCTGCCTGCACCAAAGCAGCTGAAGACTGCTGGAAAAAGTCATACAGCTGTTCCAGGTGGTTTAGCTTTCCTTTGAGGACATGAATATCAAATGAAATTGCAACACTACAGAGCAATCCTACTACATTTCCTTGGTAAATTCATTTTCCCACTTTTTGAGATGGCAGTTTCATCCCTTCTCCTCTTTAGTCAATCTTTCAATAACCCCATCTCTCAGCTTTTGGCCTCACCTTTTACTTCCCTGAGAAAACAGAATCATATGGGAAGTCCCTAATGTCTCTCTCACCACCAAATCCCCCACCTGCCCGACGCCTTACTTTTCATTCCGTCTTCCCTTCTGTTAACGATGGAAGCAGCGCCCCTGCTCCAAGAGCAACTTCCAGTCGGACTCTGTATCCCGTTGCCTTCCATCTTCCCAAGACTTCACTCCTACACGCAAATCTTCTTCTATAGCCTCATTTCTCTTTATTGGATTCTTCCGATCAAATCAGAAGCATCTGTAGTATATCCTACGTTTTTTAAGAAAAAGATAATTAACTTTCACTCACCACTTTTTAAATTGACTAGACTAGTGATTCTCCAACTTTGGTGTGTACTATAATCACCTGAAGGCCTTGTTAAGCTGCACATTCCTGGGCCCCACCTAGAGTTTTGGGTTCAGTTAGGTCTGGGGTGGGGCCAGAGAATTTTCATTTCTAGCAAGTTCCCAGCTGAGGATGCCGGTCCCAAGCCACAGCCATCGGTCCACACTGATTGCCTCTGCCTTCCTCACCTCCCATTCTCTCCTCAAGTTCCTCCAAGGGCTCTCTTTAGCTCTACTGAAACTGCTCTTGGAAGACTGTAAGTGATTTCCATGTGCCCAAATCCATGGTCCCTTCCCCATCCTCTCCTTGCTTTGGCTTCTTCCTTGGAAGCATTTGATGCAGATGAACCCCCCTCCCCCAAAATACTCTTCTTCTCTTGGTCCCCTAATACCACACTCTCCTTGTTTCCCCCCCTCAGTGGCCCTTCTTTCTCTGCAGAACCCTAAAATATGCCCCAAGGCTTGATCCTAGACTCTCCCTTTTTCCATATATACACTCTTACCCTAGGCAATCTCATTTATTCTGATGTCTCTAAATTCAGTCTAGATGCTGAAGACTCCCAAATTTATGTCTCCAGCTCTGAAATCTCTGTGCTGCAGATTCATATATAACTTGTCATCTTCATATGAAAGTTTAATTTGAATGTCTAATAGATATCTCAACATTGATACACCTAGAACAAACTCTTGATTGCCTCCCCAACACCAAACCTACCCCTGCCCCAGGACTCCTCAGTAAAAATATCATTCACTCGGTTACTGCATAAGCCAAAAATCTGTCATTTTGGATATCATTTGAAACATTTTTAGGCAGCTTTATTGAGGTGTAATTGATTTCAATAAACCATACATATTTAAAGAGTGCAATTGGATAAATTTTGACATGTATACACACCCTGTAAAACCATAAAACAATCAAGGAAATGAACATATTTATCTCCCTCAAAAGTTTCCTCACGCCCCTCTGTAGTTTCTTTCTCCGGCTTTTTCCCACCCCCAACCTGAGATCTACTTTCTCTCACTATACATTACTTTGCATTTTCTAGAATTTTCTGTATATGAAATCATACAGTATATGTTCTTTTTAGACTTCTTTCAGTCAGGGTAATTATTTTAGATTGTCCATTTGACGCATGTATCAATGGCTCATTTCTTTTACTGCTGGGAATTACTACATTGTATGGATATACCACGATTTGTTTATCCGTTCATCTGTGGGTAGGTATTTGAGTTCTTTCCAGTTTCTGGCTTTTACAAATAAAGCTGCTGTGAACATATGCCTTCACTTCTCTGGGATAAATAAGAGTGGAATGCCTGGATCATATGATAGGTGTATGTTTAACTTTTTAAAAACCAGCTAAACTGTTTACCAAAGTGGTTGTACCATTTTACATTTCCACTAGGAGTATATGTGAACTCCCATCGCCCAACACTCCACCGCTTGGTGTGGTTACTCTTCTTAATTTTAGCCACATAAGTCAATGTACAGTGGTATATAATTGTGGTTTTAATTTGCATTTTTGTAATGACTAAATTCTGAGAATCTTTTCATGTACATATTTGCTATTCATATGTCTTCCTTGGTGAAGTGTCTGTTCAAATCTTTTGCCTATTTTTAAAACTAGGTTATCTTCTCCCAGTCTATGACGTGTTTTCCTTCTGAACAGTTTCTTTAAAGAGCAGAAGTTCTTAATTTTGATGAACTTGGATTTATCAAGGTTTTCTTTTTATAGATCATGCTTTTGGTATCATATCTAAACATGCTTTGCCTAACCAAAGGTCACACAGATTTCCTCCTATGTTTTCATCTAAATAATTTATAGTTGTAAGTTTGACATTTAGCTTTGTGATCCATTTGATTTATTTATTTATTTTTTTAATAGAAACTGAGGTATGGATTGAGGTTTATTTTTTCTTTTCACAAATGGATATCTAATCTTTCTATGACCATTCCTTGTAAAGACTATCTTTTTCCCAGTGAATTTTATTTGCACCTTTATTGAAATCAGTTGACTGTATATGTGTAGGTCCACTTTTGGACTTTCTATTTGATTTTATTGATTTCTTTATCAATGAAAACATTAGGCACTAGTAAGGTAGAGACATCCCAACCTTTCAGCTCCTGCCATCTTGTTCCAATCAGTAATTGAAGCATTCTGGAGTAATTATTTATTCTTGGACCTCAAAGAATTAAAATACATTGGTTTCATTCCAAGTAATTCAATCTGTATGCTGAATTCAAGAATTCAATCTATATGCTGTGTCATTGAAGAAGGAGTAAAATTAATACCAAGGTAAATTTGGACCATTATATTCCATCCAGTGTTTAACTTTTAAATCTGTCCTCTTACAATGAGACTTCTCCTTTGAGTCCAACTATTTTAGAAAATATATGAGGATTTTTCTGTCTTTGGGCTGAGTAATCCAAGTCTGAAAATAAGCACCAGGTCAAACTCCACGTCCTCTTTCTCCACCCTGTTGCTTAATCCTCAGAAATTAAGTGTTTGAGCTTTGGTGTTTCGGTATGAAATATAAAGTGCTTATGGACTGTTCCATGGAAGCATTTGAATTGAAGATGGCAACTGCTAGTGGCCTTTCTTGGCCAGCTCTTTACTACTCCTAAGTAATATTTAACTGTTCCATGGCAAAACCTGTGACTAAACTAACACAAGTACTTTTGACTGTGCAGAGGCTGGAATAGAAGTTCTTTCTCAGCTGTCTCAACTAACTGGCACCTTCTTTACGGCCCCCACTGGGATTGCAACTGGCTCTTACCAACATAGTAAGTGTATGTAGGAGCTGACAACCATGCCTAGCCTAATAGCATACACCAACTCCAGGATCTCCACAAGACAAAGTAGGGTTAATAGTACTGATGTGGCTGTTATCAATTCCTTCTGTGAGAGAATGCTATCACTTCCCAGACTGGGTAATCCCATAACACTCAGTCATTTCCTTAGAAGGGGATTATTTATTGCAAATATTTTGCTTCAAATCATCATTTGCAAAAACTCTATTGAAAAGTTATCTTTAAGAGTTAAGCAAAGATGTATACTTGCTAATCTAGAGAAATAATAAGTACAAAGAATAGTTTTTCTTATCAAGATGGTTTTGTTTGGAAAAATGAATTGCAGGTACAAAGAAATGGCAAAGAGGCTCACTTAGGTTGCATTTCAGTAACATTATCTGAGAGGAAAAACAGTCAAAGATAAAATACACCTGAAAGCAAATTTTCATTTAGATACTAAAGCTGCATATTTGGATCAAAATGTAACTTTGGCTGACCAACAAGAGAACCAAATTGCTTTGCTACAGGAACAGTAATCACTTTCTTTTTTTTTTTTTTCTTTGTCTTTTTGTCTTTTTCCGTGTCCGGCAACGGATCGCAACCCTCAGTGTTGCCCCCATACTGGACCGGGGACCAGCAACGGGATCGCAACCCTTGGTGTTGCTCCCGCGCCTCGCTCAGCCAGTGAGCGGGCACCGGTCCACATGTGGGATCCGAACCCTCGGGCGGGAGCGCCGCCACACTTCCCAAGTGGCGCACTATCCAGTGCGCCACCGGGCCGGCCCGTCCTTTAAAACTCTCTCAATTCCTATCAAGGAGGGACTGGTGTGATGTAGAAACTGTATAAAACATTGCTCCTCTACTCCCAAATGCCTAGGGCCTTTCAGGACTGAGGAAAGCTGGTGTGATTGTGAAACGTGTAAGGGAAAAGGTTCCATGTGGATATAACAAAAAGCATGTTCACTTGATATAGTTTTGAAGCAGAAATCACTCATTAATTTTAATTAATATAGCAACATCACCGAATGATAACCTATTTGGCTCTGTGGCAAGAGAAATTGGCCTAGCAGAGCATAGGGTGAGGACAGGTTGTTTGCAATAGGGAACTGGTTTTCTTCTCCTCCTCTGACCCCCTTCCTCCGGCTCAGCCTCCTTTCCCCTCTCTTCTTCTTCTCTTTATTAAAGAACTTGTTATTAGGCTTTTCACATTTGTCAAGAAGAGTAGGGGAAATAAAGCAAATAATGCTATCCATCCATTCAGGACAGAAAATCAAATTTAATGTATCACTGTATCATTCAGTAATTGCTTTTTAAAGAGACAAACTTTCTTAAGCACCTGCTTCAGTCATGGAGATATATTTGCAGATAGAAGTTTGACATAATTTATGAAAGATACAGGGTTGGCTATGACAGGGTTGGCTTGGAATGGCATGATGGGAAAACTAGGCAGACTGAGATTTTCTTGTATTTTCACTCAGGATAAAAAGACAAAGCAGCATATTTTTACTTAGTTGACTGCTCTGCTTCTATTCTATTCTACTATTCTATTTTTGATTTCAAATAGAATATGTCAACCTTGTCTATTAAAAAGTAGATAGTCATTTGAAATGATTCATTGTGTCCTTTTTGAGTTTCTAATTTTACCCTTGAAAGCAGACTATGGGTGTTTATTTTAGCCTTCTAATGAGAAAGGATAATAAACCCGATATTACTAAAACTGAGTTTTTGTTGTACTTTAAACAAGTAGAATTCTTTCATCTGAGCTCAAGTCTGCAATAATAAAAGGAGAAAATAATGTCAGTTCTTAGTGATTGGCTGGGACCACTTGAAAGGACCCCCCCTTGCATCTACTTCAGCGAATTAAAGCTGCAGACGTGGTGCAGCTTCACGGACTTCCTGGAAGACTCCTTGAGATCAGTAAGGAAACTGTTACGACCTTTCTTCAGGGAGTTGCAGAAGAGCATCAGTGGCAGGATGATAGGTAAGAACTCTCACTTCTGCCGCTGCAGGTTAACTGTGAAGTTTGTTTCCTCTCCAGTGCGAACACAGATTTAGGAATGGCACAAGTAAAATTTCACTCTTGAGCATCTTCAGTAGAACTTTATCCCTTATGTCTTTCATATTTCCTTTTAAGTATAATGAATACCCACCAAGAATAAATATATTTAAGTTCAAAATGCAGAAGCTAGTTCCTGTTTTAAATTTTTACCATTTTATTAATTCCTATCAGTCAACTATTTACCTAGACAAAATTTAGTGTCTGTTAAGCCAGAGTTTCCCACTACAATTTGCTCTAAAAGTGAAGCACCAACATCCCAGTAAAATACCGCTTACACTGCAGCACGTATTACAAAAACTGTTCTACAATTTAAGTTCTATTTATTTTCTGTCTAAATTATATAATTTGGTGATGGGATCTACGGTCCTTTGCTGAGCCTATTGGACATCCCTGAATTTATTTTCCCATTCCCACTTCATTCCCATGATTGAATTGTCACAATAGAGCCTTTTGGAAACAATTTAGTGTCTCAATTTTGCATCATCACCTAAATTAGTCCATTCTTTAAAGCAAAGTATTTTTCACCATTGGGTAAATAGGGTTTTTCCCCCTCATCTGTAACTACGTATTCAATTTTTTCCCCTAACACTTCCACCTCACTAAAACACCATTACAATCACTATGCATCTATTTCTTTCTTCCCTTCCCTTCCCCTGTTCCTTATTTAATGTCTATTTACATAGTTACTGTCTACAGGAGAGCTGTAATACATAAGTGTTCATGCAGATAATTTATCTGTCAATATATGTCGTATATCTCTTTCCATAAATACCTCCTAAGCAGGAAATTGTCTTGTTTTTTGTACTATCCAGTCTACCACATTTAGGTTTTCAAACAATATTTAGCAGTAACTATGAAGCGATGTAAACAGGGGGAAATTATTTCTCCTGGTTCTTTTATAAATATTAAGGACTAGAGAGAAAAGTGGAAAGGTAAACTTTTAAAAAGTAGTAGTATTTTTTTGATGATAGAAAAAACATGTTTTCAAATAAATGCATATTGTTTAAAATAATATAAAAAGATGTCAGTATATGTATGTTTGTATGTTATTTCTTATGGACTTTAAAAAGTATTTATGTGTTTGAGCACAAAGGTAGAGGGAGTGTGGAGGAATTTTTGCTAGGATTGAGAATGTATCAATTCAACTTATATGGTTCCTTTTCACATGTTCTGTCCTTATCGTCCAATTTATAGATTTCATTTAATATCAGCTTTGCCAGGGTGGCCACTTTTTATACGCTGTCCATTTAAATTGCTTTGGCCCATTTTATATTTTATTATAGTGGAAACAATAGAATTTCATGACGTAATAGAATTTTTATTCCTCTTCTTTACATTTTTATCCACTAAAAAGCACCTGTGAGGACTGAGTTGTTTTCTTTTTTATCACATCTCTTACGTGAATTAATACAGGGTGCATGGCCTTATATTAACAGGGCAGTTTATGTTCGACACCATGAGTACGGCCAACATTCTTAATAACCAAGAAGTCGCACGAGCTCTGGCAGATGGACTGACAGAACTGTCCAAAGAAGATTCTGTAAGTGTTTCTTTGGAGAAAGCAAACTATAAAAACCCCAACATTTAAATAAATTCTTAGTTTACATTTACCATTTTTTATCAGTTTATCCCTTCAGGGGCACAGTTCCGCAGAGGAACTACATCAGTTTATAAAAATAGCCACTGAGAGATTCTGGGCCCAAGATGTTCATGTGTTAGGTATGGGGAACACTCAGGTGGGAAAATCTTCTAGGTTATTTACAGTTTATTCCATTGTGCACTGTTTTCTGTCTTGCGTGCTTGATTTCAATCAGACGTGATTTCTTAAAAAAACATGTTAGTGGCTTTATATTGCACATAAACATTATAAAACAGTGAGAACAATTACCACCACGAGGAAAAAATTGAGAAAGTGTGAAACCAGATATAAAAAGATAAAGAGCAGGGCCGGCCCGGTGGCGCACTGGATAGTGCGCCGCTTGGGAAGTGCGGCGGTGCTCCCGCCGAGGGTTCGGATCCCACATACAGACCGGTTCCCGCTCACTGGCTGAGCGAGGCACGGGAGCAACACCGAGGGTTGCGATCCCGTTGCCGGTCCCCGGTCCGGTACGGGGGCAACACTGAGGGTTGCGATCCATTGCCGGACACGGACAAAGACAAAAGACAAAAAAAAAAAAAAAAAAAAAGGGCAGGGGGGGCTAGTTGAGGGGGGAGGGGAAAGAAAAAAAAAAAAAAAAAAAAAGGGCAGGGGGGGCTAGTTGAGGGGGGAGGGGAAAGAAAAAAAAAAAAAAAAAAAAAGGGCAGGGGGGGCTAGTTGAGGGGGGAGGGGAAAGAAAAAAAAAAAAAAAAAAAAAGGGCAGGGGGGGCTAGTTGAGGGGGGAGGGGAAAGAAAAAAAAAAAAAAAAAAAAAGGGCAGGGGGGGCTAGTTGAGGGGGGAGGGGAAAGAAAAAAAAAAAAAAAAAAAAAGGGCAGGGGGGGCTAGTTGAGGGGGGAGGGGAAAGAAAAAAAAAAAAAAAAAAAAAGGGCAGGGGGGGCTAGTTGAGGGGGGAGGGGAAAGAAAAAAAAAAAAAAAAAAAAAAAAAAAAAAAAAAAAAAAAGATAAAGAGCAGAGGGGGCTAGTTGAGCGAGGAAGGGAAAGAGAACACAAAAGAACAGAAATAAACCAGTAATTTGGTCGGAGACAAATATAGGGGAAGCCTGAAGAAATATTTTCATCAGAAGCAAATCTTAGATGCTCCCCCAGAAAAGTCAGCTCACATTTCAGAAGGCGGTGAAGTGAGGAGAGGCCGGTCTACAAACCCCCAAAGGTGACAGCCAGGCTGTGGGACATGAGATGTGCCACTCTCAGTGTTGGAGAATTCGGGGATAGGATGGGAGTAGGGACGACGTTACCATACTCACTGCTGTACAAGGTCTTTAGTTTTCTATGGAAAGATTCTCAGATCCTTCTCTTTCACCGAAGTCATTCTACTTTGTGGGTGAATTTAACACTGTCGCTGTGCACATTCTCTCTCGTCATTCTTGCGTATCTGCTCTGGTTCACCTCGGCTTCCTGGGCCTGCACCGGCCCTCTCCAGGCTGGCTGTACTGTTGGAGACTGAGGGGTCACAGTGAGCCACGACCTGCCTCCTCTGAGGACTCAGCTCAGCAGCGTTCTAGCCAGAGCTCGGCAGCTGGAGGAGCTAAGACACTGGCGAGCTTTGCTGATTGAGTGAGCAGGGACCTTCACAGCGATGACTCTGCCCTGCTCCCGAAACACACAAGAATTACTAACCATTTCTGGTGTAGGTTCAGTATACTTATTCCCACCTAATTATCTGAAAATAACCATTTATGATATAATTTTGATGGCATTCACCCTATAGCCTAAGAGAACCTCAAATTTGGGCGCCTCGGGTGTTTTCCCAGCAGTTCTGCTGTGCTAGCCTCTCTCCCAGGACTTCTTTCCCCTGAAAGATAACAGTAAGATCCCTTCTGTCTACTTTCCTCATTTGGCCAAGAGGTTGGTGCGGGCCACTTTGGTTCTGAAGATCTTGAGAGACCTTCTGCAAGACTTTGGCATTCCAACTGGATTGTGACAAAAAGTTGAGAACCAAGAGTATATATAGTATCTAGCATATGAAATTAACTAGAAAGTTCCATTTGTTGGTTATTGAGTAATAGCTACTTTGTCTTCTGGACATGTAAATTAATTAGGTAGAAAGCTGAAAAGTCTACTAAAAATATCTTCTCTTTTCTGCTGCACTTTTGATGACCTGCATTTCAGATGAATGTTTTAAATAGTGATTTTTTTGGGGGGGCGGAGGGTGTTTTTCAGGACAAACCTCTGGAATTATTGTCATATATTCTGTCGAAGAAATGTAGTACAAAGAACGAAGATTTTGAAGGAAATGTTATTCTGACAAAATGTGACCCAAAGGCAACATCCAATTTGCACATGAAGGTGAAGTTGCTGCTGCACTTTTGTGTCATTGCTTCACCGTAGAGTTAGGCACATGTGGTGAAGAAATTCAGAAACAATAGTGCTAGTTATACCTGGAAAGCTTTAACCTGTCATTTTTCCTAAGAACTTCATTTTCATGGACTATTATAAAAAAGGATGTTTTGTGTTTTCATGAAATGAGTAACATTTAAGCCACTTAAATGCATAAACTGCACCATGTTGACGTCAGTAACACTATTTGGTTGTGGGAGAAAAGTCGGAAATTCTCATTTTGCTTTGCTCCCTATTCAGTTGAGTCCTGAGGTAAAGAGAATTTTTTATTTTTTCATTTGCAGCCTAGGACACTTTTTTTTTTTAAATGAAACTAAGGATGGTTCTTTTTTTTCTTATTTGAAATTCAAAATCATAAAAGAAAAAACTGGGTTTGAAGCTAATTCTTCAGGCAAAGAAGAATAATTTTGCCAGTTCATATTCAGAATTTGAATATTCTTGGTTAAGTGAAATAATCAGGATTCAGGAAACACTGAGGATTGCATTGTCATTCAGAGAGCCAATTTCTATCTAGGGAAAATGTCATTTTAGAACCATTTTATACTCATAGAAAAGTCACCTATCTTTGATACTTGAAGGCTTGAGATACCACCCCCTAAAACAGATTCACCGTGGAGACTGCTGTAGGAATAGCCTTGTGAGTTCCCCTGGCAGGCAAATCACCTGTTGCCCTATTAACCTGATATTCTGCAAGTATTTGTTAATGCTTCCCTAGAGGATAGCATAGTACAGGGCCAGGGCAGGCATGGACAGCTGGTGGCAATGTCCCCTCTGCCAAGCTGCCCCAAACTAGCCCAGCAAATCAAAAGGCCTGCAATTATTCAGACCCACCCATCTGAGGTTTAATCCCCACCCCTCCCACCAAGTGGCTTATTCTTCCCAACCACAGGCATCACCCTGAGGGGAGACTTAAACACATTTCTGGGGGCATCAAACCCTTTATAAGGTGGAGCCCTGCTGGCTGGGTGCTTGATCCCTAAATCTGTCTTTTTAGGAAACTCTTGTGGACCACTTCTTGGGCAGAGATCAATCCCTGATCTTTTCAGTTCAGTTCCCTAAATATTTCTGGGAGATAACCATGTGCTGGGCACCATGTTAGACAGACTCTGGGAATAGACAGCTAAATAAGACACAGCCCCTGCCTTCAGGGTGGATGGGCCCTACACACAAGTAGTGTATAGACCCACACACAGAATACACAGGCTGGGGTGGGAACTTTAGGACGGGCATTTAGATTCCCTTTCTGCAGCCACAATATCTTTGAGATTCTTGGGGATTATTCTCTCTAGAGGATGGATATAGTTTCCATTCATCCTTCAGCCTGGGAAAGCCTTTGAAAAATAGCACCCAGGCCTCTAATACCACTCATTACCCTTGGTTCACTAAAGAGAATGGTCAACAGCTAACCCACATTATACAGGTTTCAAATTCCTCCAAAGCCCTCACCATATGTGGGTGAATCCTGACTCCCTGGAAACTTTGCTGGAGTTCTTTCATCCATCTTTATTCTTAAGGGTAAAGCTATCACTCCAAACCTTGGGCATACAGACCTTAGAAATGCCCCTCTTTGGAGCGAGAAAACTTTAAGAAAGCAATAAGGACAAAACGATAGGTGCTTCCTCTTCTGAAGTGTTACTTTTACATTTGAAAGATCTAACTACTGGTGAGAACCATTTCTGGCATCTCTGACTCCTAAGGGAATGGTCACTTGTAGCATTTCCTCTCAAAGACACTTTCATTCTTGAATTTTCTTGGATTTCTTTTGCAAAATAAAATGCACAATGAATTACGACTTCTCAACCTGTTGTTGACCTAAACATATAATCATGTTACTAAACTAATGCATGAAATTTGGGCTTAAAATTGCCTCATTGCTGGAAATCACTGGGCTGTAATAAAATTACAGAAATGTAAAACTCCTTAATGCCTAGGAATTTCTTTGATGTCTCACTTTCTTAAAATCAAATTAGAAAAAATATGTGTTGGATTCACATTTGGTTTTTAATATTTAACATTAAAGAACTTGTACACAAGCCTGCAATACAAATTTGGAGATCCTTAGGAGGAAGAACCACAGCTTAAACATAAGGGCTGAATTAGAATAAAATGGAAAAGCTTTTTTTCTCTTCACCCTAGGGTTTATTTTTAAAACTGTAGATATTCATTCAGAAGCCTTAGGAGCCAAAGGAGAGGAAAGTAAAAGTTTCTCTGAGGCAACGGTTTTAAAGATCCTTCCATAGGGGCTTGTATAACAGGGGTTACTGTCAAATCCAGGCCTGTGTGTCTGTCTGTCTATCTGTTATCTATTATCTATCTCTCTCTCTGTCATTTTGCTGCCCAGTCATCAGTTCCTCCTTGTTTTCATCTGCCTGTAGTGTTTACGCTGATACCATGCAACCACGGTGATAGGTCGCAGCTAGAATCAGAGTTGTTCCTGAGCAATACCTGTCATTTTCACAACTATCTCTGGCCCCTAATCCTGGCAGCTGACTGTTTTCTGGCAGAAGCATCAGCAGTGACTAGGATGTCTCTGGAAAATGCAGCGTCTGCCTGTGTTCCATCCTAGAGGAAAATTCCTAGCATGTGATCAAAGGCTAGTTCTGTGAGCTTATTTCCTATGGTCTCCCTTGTATGTCCTGGAGAGAGCCAAGGCAAATGCCTACTAACCCAAAATGGGCAGTTTGTTGCCCCAGTTACATCTTCTGAATTCATACCTAAAAACTAAGTAAGAGATGGCGTCTTAATCTAAAAATAGGCTCTAAAAATCCTAACAATTAGATGTATAGTATAAAGTGAGAGAAGTTGCCATTTTTAGATTCAGACAAAATTACTATGCCAAATCAATTTCCTATCCCTAAAGAAAAATTTGTATTTATTTATTTATTTTATTTATTTATTTATTTATTTTTAAAAGATGACTGGTAAGGGGATATTAACCCTTGACTTGGTGTTGTCAGCACCACGCTCTCCCAAGTGAGCTAACCGGCCATCCCTATATGGGATCCGAACCTGTGGCCTTTGTGTTATCAGCACTACACTCTCCCAAGTGAGCCACGGGCCAGCTCTAGAAAAATTTATATTTAGAAAAACTAGCTGCTGTTGAGCCAGAGGTGAGACAAAGCCACATTGTGAGTGTGAAGGTTCTTCATAACCAAGGTGGTCGGGGGGCCATGTGGACACCTGAATTTTAATGCATAAGCACTCGTGTGAGCCTGTACAGTAGGGTGCTATTCCAGATAAAAATGGCCCTTATCTATGAGACCTGCAGTACAATTCTGTACTGTTTGGATTATCCTAATCTTGGCCCAAACAGTGAGCCTGATTTTCATTTTATGTCTGCAGACACTTTCTACCTACATAACTATTGGCATTGCCATTGACTCAAATTTATTTCACTACTATAAATAATCAGCATGATTATTTATTTAAAAAGAGAGCATTCTACTCAGGGAGAAGTAGTTCTGAATTATTTGTCAAAATACAAAGTAGATCTCCCCCCAGCCATAAGTATATATACATGCCAGGCTGGTTTGGGACAGTCACAGGTGGGGACCATGAAAGAAAGGGTTGAAGATTCTGGAGCAGATGTGAAGTGCTCAGGCTCAGGCCAGGCGGGACCTCAGCAGTCCAGGAATAGAACAGGCTGGATGCAGCCCCAGGGCCCAAGGCTTTACACAGAGACTTCAGGCCACTGTGTAAGAATGTCACCAGGTACAAAATAAAAAATCGTTACTGCCGAAGTAGAGCAAGGCAAAAGGAGTCTTGGTTACAAATGGATGGTTTTCTTCCAGCCTCACCCATCAAGGAGTTACCACTGGTAGTTTTATCTTCAGAAAGGGCAGCAGAAATGTCTGTGAATCATCATTATCTCTTTACATAAACATGAGACTGTTGTTCCATTGCTAGAGTGGACCCTGGGATGCTGCAGCAAGTTGGAGCCAGCTATTTTTTTTTTTCTTCTAATGTGCTAATCTAAAACGACAAGAACAATTAACAAGGTTAAGTGAAGAAAGAATAAGCCATATTTAAATGTGCATGTCTGGAAAGGGTATGTGAATTTTTATAACACATTTTCATTAGGTGAAAAAAGACAGGAATTTTATAAAGTGTTGTGAACTTTTCCTTCTGGCATCTTAAAAATAAGATAACCTATTTGCCCTCAGCTGAGAAGGGCTAGAGCAGAGCTGAGGAAGAAGCCTGTTACCTGAGAATGTATGTAACTTTTTAAGCCTGCTAGAAGCCCCTGAATAACAGTGTCACTCCCCTGCCTCTCAGGGAAAAGGGAGCTTCAGTGAATTAGTTTCTCAAGTATAATATAGTCCAAAGGAAGCTAAAGGCTATTTTTTTAAAACATAAAATTTAATTTTAAGAGAGGCATCACATTTATCAAGCACGTAATTCATTGTGTTTAGGGAACATTGTGGTCAGGGCTGAAGACAGATAGCTTCAGAGGGCCTCTTGTGGGCACAGTCTCGACTGGGCTTTCAGAGATACCAAGGTCTACCTCCAAATAATCAAGTCTCTATTTAATCTTCAGGAAAGAAATGTTATAGAAGACAATTCTCAGAACACAAAGTCAAGTCTCAGCAAAAACGATCTAAATTTTGAGGTGCTGGTTAAACTGGTAAGCCAACTATTACATAATACAAATTTACAATTTGTTTCGCTCCTGACAGTGAAGGTTTAGACTTTGTTCCAGTTTGTTCTTCATTTGCCTTGGAATTTTCCCTTAAGGGGAAAAGACAAATATAATTTGGGTGGGGGGAGGGAATCTAGCTGGTAGATTTTTTTTTACATAAGCCTCAACTGAAAAGAAGTTGAGCCAAAAGAGTGAAGGTGTAACATCTTGGGAGCAAACCCAGTCTATATGTTACTCTGTAATTTTCCAGTATGATTCTCGGATGTCATTTAAAGAGATGGCACATGGATAAGGTCTACAGTTACTCATCAACCCACCAATTTATGGTCTGACTTCAACAGTTGAGTCTAATCAACCTAACATTTAGGGCTCTGTCTGTCTGTAAGAAGGTTGGCACGTGCAGGGAGCTGCAGCACAAGCAGAGGTTGTCCTGTCCTGCTGTAATACACAGCCTGCGCCTGTTACTTTGTATTCTTCATTATCACACTTCATTCTTTCATTCTCAGAATCTTGAAAAGTAGATGTTTTTTGTTTTTTTTTTCTTTTTGTCTTTTTTTTCGTGACTGGTAACGGGATCGCAACCCTTGGTGTCGCACCCGTACCGCGCTCAGCCAGTGAGCGGACCGGTCTCTATATGGGATCCAAACCCTCAGCAGGAGCGCCTCCGTGCTCCCAAGTGCCGCACTCTACTGAGTGCGCCACCGGGCCAGCCCTTGAAAAGTAGATGTTAATAACCACATATGATAGATGAAGAACTAGAGTTAGAAAAGTTAAATGGCTCCCATAAGGTCAGACAACTGGGAGAGGAAAAAGACTTCAATCCTACAGCCCTGAGTCCAGACCCAAGGCTCTTTCTAGCTCCTCAACACCCTGGTGTATCCGCTCACTGCGACAGTGCAGGTTGTAGCCTTCCAGGGTGTGGGTGTTCACTCACCCTCAAATCCATCACCAGGAATCACCAAGGAAGGATGTATTTACATAGTGCAGTGAATCAGATAGCATCTCTTCTGACCATTGGTGATAATATCTGATAATAATTTTTGTATTTATGAGTTTTGTTTTGTTTTGTAGCTGGCTAGTACAGGGATCAGAACCCCTGACCTTGGTATTGTAACACCATACTCTAATCAACTGAGCTAACCAGCCAGCTTCTGACAATAGTTTTAAAACAACAACAAAAGGTTTGACAACTGAAACCTTAAGTCAAAATGATTATAAATGTTGGATAATTCAAATATTTAAAAATATATACATACATAAATACATAAAATATAATATAGACTGCAAGCCAATTGCCAAGTAAGATGCTGATGTATTTTGTAGATGTGTCTAAATAGGTTAATTATATACAGTCTATGTTTTTGAAAGATAAAATTTAAATAACCAATAACATTATGTTTTTAGTATTTCAGAGTGAGTTTTCTCATTCTCTTAAATTATTTTTACATTTTAATTTTAGTTCATGAAATTATGGTTGACTCATCTTGGTGAAAATTACATAGCGCTACACTTAGTATTGTCATTTTTTTTTTTCATTTTAAACAAGATAGTTGTTTAAACAAGAGGTTTGACTTGAAGGGAAAACTATCTAGGATTTATTTATTTATTTATTTTTTATTTTTTATTTATTTTTTGTCTTTTGTCCTTTTCCGTGTCCGGCAACGGATCGCAACCCTCAGTGTTGCCCCCGTACCGGACCGGGGACCGGCAACGGGATCGCAACCCTCGGTGTTGCTCCCGCGCCTCGCTCAGCCAGTGAGCGGGAACCGGTCTGCATGTGGGATCCGAACCCTCGGGTGGGAGCGCCGCCGTGCTTCCCAAGCGGCGCACTATCCAGTGCGCGACCGGGCCGGCCCTCTAGGATTTATTTTTTAAAAGAACAATCTATCCCTACTTAAAGATAGATTGCCCTATATGTCAGAGCTATGTACAAGAAAGTTATAAAATTGTTCTTTGTTTTAAAATGATAAATAAAAAACGTTAAAAATATCCAGTTGAACAACATACACAAGGATTTTTATTTTTTATTTTTGTTAAAACAGTGAGAGCAAAATAACTTGCTGGGATATAAAGATAAGAACTGAACAAGCATGACACTAAGGGAGAAAGAGGGTCTGTATTGGTCTATTTTCTGTTGCTGATAAGAGAAAACCTGAAACTGGGTAATCTATAAAGAAAAGAAGTTTATTTCTTACAGTTTTGGAGGCTGGGAAGTCCAAGGTTGAGGGAGTACATTTGGTGAGGACCTTCTTGGTGGAGACTCTCTACAGAGTCCTGTGGCAGTGCAGGTATCACATGGCAAGGGCTGAGCAAGAGCGCTTCTGTGTGCTTTCTTCCTCTTCTTATAAAGTGCCCAGTCTACTGCCTGGTGACCCATTAAACCATTAATCCATTAATCCATGAATGGATTCATGAGAGCATAGTCCTCATGATACAGTCACCTCTTTCCAAATACCATATTCAGGATTAAATACCACATGAGCTTTGGAGGGGACAGACATTCAGACCATAGAAGGGTCTTTTCACAAAACCAATATTTTTCCCCATCGCATCTCAATTTGATGTCCACCCGCACATACCACTGTCCATTTAGTAAAAAAGTAAAAAAAAAAAAAAAAGTGTGTGCACCTATACCAGTTACTTTATGTACAGTAAAGGAATGGGGAAGGGGAAAATAAAAGAATAGAGGAAACTATACTGAAGTAGTCAGGATGTGGTGGACCCAAATCATGGCTTTCTAACTGAGAATGTACTCTTCATCTGTAAGAACAGCCTTCTGAGGCAAAGCAGCAGGTTCCCTTTTTAGTAGACACCTCCTCTCTGCTGCTGGAACACACCAATTATATCTTCAGCCTCCACTTCCAGCTGTGCAGGTATGTCTGTTTCATTGACTGGAATGTGATCTGCCTCATCGACAAACCCTGTCATTTACAATAGGCTTTCATTAGTTCACTGAGTGGCGTTTGCCTCTTAATCAAGTGCCCTACAGAACCGTCCTGCCCTGCCACCTTCAAATTAATACGATCAGTCTTGACTCCTTCATTGGGCTTTTCGTTGGCCATGATGAGGGCTGGCAGAAGCAGTATTTTCATATTTTATTTGGGATAGTATGGGATATACTTAGTGCTGAAGAGAAAAGAGGAAATTGTGTTCTAAGAGTATTACTAGTTCTGTTCTCAAATATAAGGCCATTTAATTTAAAAATTTAAATATTGTAACTGTTTTCTCTTATAAAGATGCTCATTTTTTACAACTTTTGAAACATACAGATTAAAGAAAAAGAATTTTCTATTTCCAGCAATGAAAATCAATTTCTCCATATATGTAAACAGAGCACATAACCTATTTGGGTATGGAGTTTCTTTAAATTTGTTTATAATTTTTCCCTCTGTATTAAAAAATAAAACAGGACTTTGAAATTTAGAAAACATAGCACATCTGGCAACGTAGCTAGCCAGGAGAGACAGGCTCACAGCTCCCAAGTTGGGTACTTTTTCCTAAATACTGAAAGAAGAACTTAGGTTTCAATCTTACATAAAATGCCAGTAGGAAGCATATTACTTAATAATGAGAGGGTGTCTTAATTCGTTTGTGCTGCTATAACAGAATATCTGAGACTGGTTAATTTATAAAGAACAGAAAAATTTTTTCTCACAGTTCTGGATGCTAGAAGTTCAAGATCAAGGTGTTGGCATCTGTTGAGGGCCCTCTTGCTGCATCCTCACATGGTGGAAGGCTGAAGGGCAAGAAAGGACCAACTCCCTCCGTCAAGCCCCTTTGTAAGGGCTCCTAATCCCATTTATGAGGAAGGAGCCCTCATGGCCATAATCACCTCTTAAAGGACCCACCTCTTAATATTATCACATTGGCAACACCTAAATTTTGGAGGGGACCTATCCCCACCATAGCAGAGGGCTAGATCACTTCAGTTCTTCTGTCTGCAAGATAATAAAACACCACTGGGAAAAAAGAAATAGGAAAACAAACAGGAGTGTTCAACCCAAAGGCTTCATTACTAGACTGTAACCTCCACGAAGGTGGGACTCTGTCTCTTTCTCATCATTACATAGCCAACACCTAGCACGAGACACCTAATATGGAATTGGATGGATAGATGGATAAAAGCAAACTTTCAATCTGCCCACCTTGAGATCCATGATTAGAAGTCCCCTCGCTACCATGGCATCAGGCTGGCCTGATGTGAGGGGTTGTTTGGTGATACTGGGGCTGAGTGATGGCCAGTGAGGTCCTCCATAGTGGGGTGCTAACATGGTTCCTTTCAACCCTGCATATCACAAACCAGAAAGGGGGATCTCCATGTTATTGCTGACTGCCCAATGCTTCCACGGCTCTATCACCTTCGACTTCCAGCTTCTTGAGGCTGTAAGCCTGGAAACAGTCATGATGATCTTCCTATGAGTTCTTACTGCCTTTCTACAGGAGAGAAAGCTCCAGATGGACTCAGCAGAAAAGCGAACTAGAGTTGTCAAGGAACTCTTACAGAGTGAGAGAAAATATGTGCAGACACTGGAAATTGTGAGAGATGTTTATGTAACGCCACTGAAAGCAGCATTGTCATCAAACAGAGCAATTCTGAGTGCTGCAAATATCCAGATCATTTTTTCTGATATTCTGCAGATTTTAAGTCTCAACAGGTAAATCCCGAATAGATATTTTTTAAAGATATTCATTGTGTGGTGGGAGAAGCCCACACTTTATTGCTTCAAAAGCTGCGTGGAGGCTCAGTCATTCCCTGCCCCTCTCAGGGACCCCAATCATCTCACAAAGGGGAGCGGCTCCTCACCACATCATTCACTGCGCTGCCACCAGAGTGGTGATGCCCAGGGGCTACCCCTTCCCCAGTTCACAGCAATGGAGTGAAGAATGGAGTTCAGGGACTGGACATTCTGTAACCAATAGACTGTTCCCACAAAAGACAATGGGAAGGAGAGCCGTATGGCGCTGTGCTGAATCACAAGGTTTAGGTGAGCAACGGGAAAGAAACAGAGGATCTAACAGGATTAAGCCACGGGGACCCTTTGCTTAGAGAGCCCAGGCTAGGGGTCAGTTTATTTTTGTACTTATTTATTTTTCCTTTGGCAGCAGGCCGGCATAGGGATCCATGGGGGTCAGTTTAATAACAGCATAGGTTTCCAGTGTACAGCATGAGAGAGAAAAGTGATCATTTCTACCTGTGGTAAACACAAACCAAGCATGTGCTTCTGACACTAACTCTAGGTAAACGGGAACAAGTCTCTTATTCTCAGTGGGCCCCAACTCCCAACAGATGAAGAGTGGGGACTAGGCGTCTTCTGGTTCCGAGGCCTGTGATGGCTGAATGAGGGATTCCCTTAGATCAACAGGGAGGTGGGCCAAGTGCGGGGTATGGCATTCAGCTGCGGAAGCCACCGGGGGCAGCACTCTCCTCTGAGGACTGTTAAGAAACTTCACCCACCTGCCTGTCCAGTGACATGGGAATGGGACATTCGGGGGAAGCTCTGTTGAGGCCAGCTTGGGGTTCTGACTCAAGGAATTAAGGTTGAGGAGGTAGGATTCCACCATAGATGACCTGTTCCCTCGTGGTGAGCTCCCCCTTCCCTGTTGAATCTGCATTGTTCTGTGTTTCGGACAAAAGTATTTGACTGAAACCCTGCTGTAAAGGACTAGGCTGAAAAAACCTGCACTAATGACAATGAATTAATTGTTTAAGTTAATAGGTCACCGTGGGCTACTATTTCATGGTTATGCTTTCCTCATATTGCAGGCAGTTTCTAGACAACCTGAGAGACAGACTACAGGAATGGGGCCCAGCTCACTGTGTGGGGGAAATAGTCATAAAGTTTGGAAGCCAGTTGAACACGTATACTAATTTCTTCAACAATTATCCCATTGTTCTGAAAACTATTGAGAAGGTAAGTGATTGAGTTACCATCCTGTCATTTTGTTAGACCCTCTGAGCTTGAAAGGAAGTTTTGTGTGCAATCCAAAGGACTAGAGTTAATAGGAAAGGCTTCTTCTCTGCTCTTAGCTTCCAGATCTCCTCCTGTATACTGTGAGCTCTTTGAGGTCAGGGGCCCTGACTTAGGAGCCGGTACAGTGCGTGACACACAGCAGTGCCTGGAAGGTGGTTGTTGAACTGAACTTATCCTCATACAAATTGCCAGACTTTCATCTGCCCCAAATACCCTGTGGCTCACTTACAGGAAAATGTGGAAATGTTCAGCAAATAGGTAGAAGCCACACTGTGAGCTCTGACTCTGCTGCTACAATCCTGTGTGGCCTGTTTTATGTAGAAAGTGAATTAATAATTCATGTATTTCTTGAAATAAGAACAGTCAATTTATGAACTCTGTGAAGTAAGAAATTTCTTGGTCTTAGATTTCCTAGAGAGTTAATTATAAACAATTTTCCTTGTTGTGACATGCCATTACTTAGTCTGAACAAGAATATCCAATTCCCTTCTGTATCATCTGCTCTTGTTGGGATCTCCTCTGATGAGAATAAGATTCCTTTCTTTCTTCCTCAGTTTGTATCAAAAGTATAGCAGAAGAGGATTTCTTGCAACATATAGCACACTTCTGCCAGTGCCCACTTGTCTTCACTGAAGCTCTAAAGGGAAGTCTTGGAGGCTGGGAGGCTTCTGGGTGATTCCTGACCTTGGATGTCTTTCTTTGCAATATTCCTCCCACCCCACTCAGGGAGTTTAGTCACTGACAACTGGACAACTAGATTATGCAAAAGTTGCATGAATAAGGCAATTTCATAGAATTGACCTTGAGGACAAGAATTGGAGCAAAGTGTCACATTTTATCAGAAACAAATTGATGCCAAAATTTTTATAGCTATGGGTAATAATAATACCTATTTCACTAGCATAGCATATATATATAAGTACTCAGTAAATGTTAGTTTTTAATATTATTGACATCAGTGAATATTTGATTTCTAGAAATTAGCATTACTGACATCTATTGGGCATGTGAAGGAGATAACTTTCACAGGTGCTGTAATTGTGATGAATGAATACATTTAAATTAGCATTACTGACATCTTTTGGGCATGTAAAAGGAGATAATTTCACGGTTGCTCTAATGGTGATGAATGAATGCATTTTAAAACAATTAATAAGTACAGTGGAGCATCTTTATAATATTATTATGGAAAACATGATTAACATCAGTATTAAAAGTGAATACCATTAATAGTCATGATCGTACTATAATGAAATAACATTTACTGCATGGCAGGAACTTTAATAGGATTGCTTTTCCCTCACCACAAGAATTAGGTATGATATCCATTTTGCAGATGAGAAGGCTGAGGCTTAGAGAAGTTAAGTAACCTGACAAAGTCACATATTTAATTTATCTTAATTATAATCCAGGCTCACTTGGTTGCAATGTCCACTTTTATTGTCTATAATGATTAAGTTCAATGGATAGGGTTAGGTCTATGGTACAATAAGACACTATACTTAATATATTGGGAAGACATCAATAACACTAATAGTACTTTGACTGATTAGATGTAGATGTCCTTTTTCTTTGTGCATTCTGTAGATTATGCTCGCTTAATGGAACAGAGGACTTTACGACAGTCTCATAGAGCAAAGTTTTGACAATATAATTCTCACCTTTTAGTGCAGAGAAATGGTACCAGCATTCCGAGCTTTCCTGAAGAGGCATGATAAGACCATTGTGACCAAAATGCTGAGGTGAGTTCTGAGAGAGCACACAGCTGCCCCCCCAAGACAGGGCATTCCTTGACCTTCAGATAGAGACCACAGTTCTTTCTCTGTGCCTCGTACAGCCTGCCGGAGCTGCTCTTGTACCCATCCCGACGATTTGAAGAATATATCAATCTTCTCTATGCTCTGAGGCTTCATACTCCTGCAGAACATGTTGACCGTGGGGACTTGACCACAGCAATTGACCAAATCAAAAAATATAAAAGTTATATAGATCAGGTTGGTTGCTGATAAGAATCTATGTCCTTTAAAAATGTTACAGTGCTTTTGTGGTGCTCTCACTCAGAGATCCTGAGATTCCTTATCTTCTTGTGGTGTTCTTTAGTTCAAGCAGAGACTTTCATCCTGTTAATGCTAAATCAATAGTTGTGTTCAGCGATTTTGAATACTAAGGACATCTATTCTAAGCCAAACAACATGAGACAATGTTTTCAGATATCTGTACAAATACAATAAAACCTTTATTAATATAAAAGTTCGAAGAATGGGGTATTTGGATTAATTTTTCAGGAGTACTAAAAGAAAAAAATGTAAAATCCTTTGTTCCTAAAAAGTAATTTTTAATGTATTAATTTTCCTGCCTCAGTAACTATAGCGATCATAATTACTGCTAATTATGAAAGGAATCAGCATCTTGGAGTACAGTACTATCATTCTGAAAATATTGTCATTATGTTATGAATGCTGTACAGGTGTCTGGGCTGAATGCTGGGCTAAACACATTATGCCTTGAAGATGCTTTTTGAATTGTCTTGTCACTTGCCTTAAAAGATTGGGTACAGAAAGTTGAAATTATTATAGTGTATGAAAATATCAAGTTCTGTATCAGTTGCCATAAAATATTTTAATCTATTTCTTTTATAAATAAAAATGTCACAATTTTAGTTTGCCTAAAATCACTTTGTTTTCTAGATGAAACAAAACGTCAGTATGAAAGATCAGCTGTCAGATATACAGAGAATGATCGGGGGGTGCCCTGTACGTATTCTGATGCACTTGCTCTATCTCATGCTCATGAGTATAACCTCAAGTCATCGGCAAAAGGAGGCATGCAGATCCCGAAGCTGCTAATGTTTGGGGAATGCCTGCTGCGTGTCAGGCACTGCAAGGTCTCACATTTCACAGCCTCGTTATCTGTAAGGATGCTCTACAAGAAGAGGCACATGTGGGCTTGACCCTATTCTGTAACATGTCTGCGGTCATATTACCTTGCTTGGTATTACTGTGATCATTACCCCCTTTGGGGAAAGGGATCAGGTGTTCTACACGTTTTCTTACTCCCTGCACATAGAACAGGACACTTGAAAAATTTTTAGAAGTCCTCTGTTAGCAATCTGTTACCTATAGAATATCATCTGCCCCACCCACCCTCTTACAGCTTCCCCTATCACCTTGTGATCACACTGCACACATCTACTCACAGTCCTCTAGTTTAGCCTCTCTTTACTTCTCTGAAATTGCCTTCCTTTCCTACACCACTGGATAAACTTCTACACATCCTTAAAAATCTAGTTCAATCATCGTCTTCTTTGCAAAGTTTTCCCCAACATCTTCAGCTGTGGGTTGCTCCTTCCTAGGTGCTTCGCAGCATGCTGAACATCCTTGTTGCATTTTATTGCAAACCTTTATTCACAAGACTGGGAGCTCTGTCATGTATGAACTACGATTTACTTGTCTTCTAGTGTTTAGCACTAGGAGTTTGATATATGATTATGTTGAATTAAACTATCATCCGTTGATTGGAGATGTCATTTTTATTTGGTTAAATTGGAGAAGCATGATAAAGTTGTTTTGTCATAATTTTTGACCTGCACATTTTAGTAGAGGAAGAGAAGTGGAGTTGATTAGATTGCAAAAGTCCAAAGTCTCAGAACTCACAGAATCTACAGAACTTTATCTCTGGATCACTGTTAACACCAAGAGATCATTTCTACAGCTAGATCAATACAAGGGCCTGACTTCTTAATCTGTACCTATCTGACTTCTTAATCTGCTTCCTTTTCTTGATAGCTCCCTTCTTACCTTCCTCCCCCACACCCCAACTTTTGTTTTTTGATACTAGGAAAGCATTTACAAATAAAACAGTAGTCTTAAAAATTTGACAGCATCTTCAAATACAGTTTCCATTGTTAATTCTGTGGCTTTTCTAAAGAAATCCTGTTTTATAAACAATGAAAACATTCACTTTTTCATAATTAAATAGTCAACACTTGCATAGTCTGGGATATAAAATGGTTCTGCAGTAGGAGGATTTTTTGTTTTTAGAAGACTTATATATGCTTCTAATTTTGTTTTTGATTTTATAGACTCTATCAGAAGTAAACAGATATCTGATTAAAGTCCAAGATGTAGCCCAACTTCACTGCTGTGAGGAGGAAATAAGTTTGTCTTTAAGGTAAACAACAGTTAACTATCCTAAGGCTGTGAACTCCTTAAGAGCAGGTTACTGTCTTACTCATCTTGTATCCCTGGCACTCAGTACAATGACATATTGCAGGTTTACAATAAATCTTTGAGTTGAAATGAAAAGTTGCACACACACTCCTCAGAGATGGTGTAAGGTACTTTATCACCTTGCTTGCATTCCAGGCAGCTACTGGGTAGAATGAGAGAAAATAAATTGTCTCTGCTAGGACCACAAACTCCACAGAAGCTGGAATTCTGAAAGTTGGTCACTTTCCTACTTAGGATCCAAGTGTTGTGGAATTTCACACCAATGATCTGCTCAACTATGAGAAAAAAAGAACCAGTTTATTATCCTCAGACAGTTATTGAGGTCAGTATTAAAAGTGACCTCACCATATCTAGTTTGTACAGTGCATTCAGAGTAATGTAAGAACAAAAGATGGAGGGATGCCAACTTCAATAAATTAGTATCCCCTGTCCTTAGAACAAGGATGGACAAAGTAAACAAGCTTTACTTCTCTGTAAAGCTTGTGGTAGTAAGTATTTCAGGTTTTGCTGGCCATATAATCTTTGTGGCAACTACCTAACTTCGCTGCTGCAGCACGAAAGCAGCTACACAAACGATAATGACACATAACAAATAATACACTGTTCATAAACAATACATGAATGAACAAGCATGGCTGTGTTCCAGAAAAACTGTGTTCCAGGAAAACAAAAACAGGTGGTGGGCCACAGTTTGCTGATCTCTGCTTTAGAAAACTGTTTTGTCAAAATATGTTTTCAGTATTAATGACAAAATAATGACTCAACAAATAGCAATCAAATGAAGATGAATTAACTCCTTTAATTTTTCAAGTCCAATAAAGTAATAAATATTGATTTATTTCAATCAATATTTCAGCAAATGTTCCCTAAAGGCACAGGGCAGCAGGGTAGATGAAAGAAATCAGTCCTTTCACCTCCCTCCTCACCTAGATCTTAAATAAATCAAATCACATAACTGTGTCACTTTTGTCATTGTCATGGCATTTTGGAAAAGAGCTACAGTAATAGAAAGAAACTATGTACCAAACAAGCAATTCTGAATACACTGGTGTGGTAGAAGACATGCTAAAGCTTGCTCCAGTTTTTTATTATGAGATTATCTAACCTTCATGTATTCCTTCTTGAACACTCTTCCTTTCTTTATGTAAGTCCAAGATTCTATTAGCATTTTCCTTCTCTCTGCAGAACTTCCTTTAACATTTCTTGCAAAGCAGGACTACTGGCAATAAACAACCCTCAATTTTTGTTTGAGAAATTCTTTATTTCTCCTTCATATTTGAAAAAAGTTTTTTGCTGGATACAGAATTCTAGGTTTTTTTCTTTCAATGCTTTATTTTACTCCACTCTATTCTTGGTATTATGGTTTCTGAAGAGAAGTCTGATGTAATTCCTGTCTTTGCTCCTCTATAGGTAAAGTATTTTTCTGTTCTCTGGGTTCTTTCAGGATTTTGTCTTTGATTTTCTACAGGTTGAATATATTAAGCCTAAGTGTAGATTTTTTGGTACTTATCCTGCTTAGTGTTTTCTGAGCTCCCTGGACCTGTGCTTTTTTTTTTTTTTTTCTGGACCTGTGCTTTGCTGTTAATAATTTTGGAAATTTTTCAGCCATTCTTACTCCCAGTATTTCTTCTGTGACTTCTTCTTTCTTCATCTGGTATTCCTATTAGCATGTTATGCCTTTTTTTTTTTTTCCTTTTTGTCTTTTTTCGTGTCCGGCAACAGATCGCAACCCTCAGTGTCGCGCCCGTACCGGACCGGGACCGGCAACGGAATCGCAACCCTCGGTGCCGCGCCTGCCCCTCGCTCAGCCAGTGAGCGGGAACCGGTCTGTATGTGGGATCCGAACCCTCGGCGGGAGTGCCTCTGTGCTTCCCAAGCGGCGCACTGTAGCAGTGCGCCACCGGGCCGGCCCCATGTTATGCCTTTTAAAATTGCTTTTGCTTGGATATTCTGTCCCTAACCCCCTCAACCCCTGCCCCCTGGCTTTCTTTGTTTTTCAGTTTGGGAAGTTTCTATTGACATACCTTCAAGCTAACTGATTCTTTCCTCGGATGTCTACTGATCAGCCTGCCAAAGGCACTCTTCACTGTATTACGATAGTTTTTCCTTACAATTCTTTTTTTTTTTTTATTTTATTTTTATTTTTTTTTATTTTTTGTCTTTTTCTGTGTCCGGCAACGGATCGCAACCCTCAGTGTCGCCCCCGTACCGGACCGGGACCGGCCATGGGATCGCAACCCTCGGTGCTGCTCCCGCCCCTCGCTCAGCCAGTGAGCGGCCGGTCTGTATGTGGGATCCGAACCCTTGGCGGGAGCGCCTCCGCGCTTCCCAAGCGGCGCACTAGCGCAGTGCGCCACCGGGCCGGCCCTACAATTCTTTTTTTGAGTCCCATCTCTCTGCTTACGTTACCCAACCATTCTTGAATGTGGTCCACTTTTTCCATTACAGCTCTAACATATTAATTATAGTTATGTTAAATCCCTGGTCTGATAATTCCAAAATGTCTACCACAGCAGAGTTTGGTTCTGTTGCTTACCCTGTCTCTTCAGTCTGTTTTTTGCCCCTAACATGCCTTGTAATTTTTATCAAAAGCCAGACATGATGTACCAGGTAAAAGGAAATGAGCTAAATAGGCCTTTAGTATGAGGTTTTATGCTCATCTGGCTGTTAGGCTATGTCTGCTGTTTGTTTTAGTTGGTGTCAGAGGCTACAATTTTCTCTGGAGTCCTTGTTTTCACCTCCCCTCCTGTCTTTGGGTTTCCCTAGAATCCCTTCTGTAACGGGGTCTGAGCCTTGCTGCTCTTTCAGCTGTAATCCTGTTATACAGGAGTTCTACTGATGTGGAAGTAAGACACGAGGGGAGGGGAGCATTCTATAGTTCTATGATTAATATCAGTCTTTTAATAAGCCTGTTGGCCCTTGGCTGTAACCTTCATTAAGCGTTTCTCAGCATTTTTTTTCCCCACCTTTAAGATGAAACAAGAAGCCTAGAGGGAACTGCAGTTGGCTATTTCCCTTCTCCCAGCTTGGTTAGGTTCTGGTGAAAGCTTCCTTTGAGGGTAGGCCTTTGGTAAGGAGAACTCTTGGGGCATATTTCAAAATGGTACTTTTCTCCTCCCCCTGGGGAAGAATGAGATTTTTCTCAGCTCTTCACAGTGAGAACCTGGTGGATCCCTGAGGTCTAACACGCCAGCGTGGGAACCCTGGAGCTTCTAAATGCTCAAGCTAGTAGTCCACATTTAACCTCCAGCAATTAGTCAATTACCCTTTAAGTATTCCTATTCCTACTTGTTCAATGGACAAGCTCAAACTACTCCATCAGGAACACTGACGACCCACAGTATGGTCTGAGAGAGAGAGAAGGGACTAATCACATGAAGAAAATTATAACTTCAGTGAGCCATTCAAATGGTTTCTAGTGGGGTAAAAGCCTTAACTATTTATCAACTTATAGATAGCTAATTGTGTAACAGAGCCCATGTTTGTATGTATTAAAACTGTCTCCTTCATTTCCACACAGGCTGTATGAACATATACATGATCTCAGCCTTTTCCTCTTCAATGACGCACTGCTTGTTTCTAGTCGGGGCACATCGCATACTCCATTTGAAAGGACTACAAAAACTATCTACCAGTTCATTGCATCGGTGGCCCTTCACAGGTTACTTGTAGAAGATATTCCAGATTCCAAGTGTATGTATTCTTTTCCTTCACAGGTTACTTGTAGAAGATATTCCAGATTCCAAGTGTATGTATTCTTTTCCTTCCAAGAGAGAATACCTTTACAAAACTATGTTAAGTAAAGCTCATTAACAAAACAACAGAAAAGTAGGAAAATGAGTGAAATCATAATTTACCAGTTTGTAAATAATTCCCCAAATATTAGAATTAAACAACATAAACTTCCATCTACCTCTAAATGAGGTAGACTGCTGGCATTGTCAGATATGTACCTTAGACATTAAGAACACCACTTTCAAAAACACAGAGGGAAGACCCTACACCATCATGAATCTTTGAAGCAGTCTGACATGAGGTGGCACTCTTAACCACTGTTCTATACTGTCTGAAAATGTTACAGTTTTGAACTGTTTTAGATTTTTATCTATAACTTTTCTGTTTATTCTACTAGTATTGATTATTTCAGATTTGACTGTACCTTTTCTTCCTTAAGTTAGCATTTAAAATGAGAGTTTTTCTATAAAGGAATCAACAAATTTTCAAAAGATGCAGAGTCACTTAAACATTTCATCATAATAATTCCAATAGAAATATCATTTATCACAAAAGGAAATCCTACTTAAAACTAGTGTGCCAATTTTCAGTTATTATCCAACACTCTTACTTCCCAAGTTCAAAAGGATCCATATCCTTTCCAATATTTCTGTTAGGCCAATTTGAATCTAACATCTCTCATTCCAATATTTTTCACTGCATGTAAAGACAGGATCTAAGTTTAAAGCTGGAACCAAGATCTTAGAGAAGGAACTAACCTAAATAAAAGGGCTGCTTCCCAATAGCTTCAGCTCCGTTCTAAATCTGAGAGCCTGACAAAAAATGAGTATCAAGTGTGGGAACAAGTATTTCCTAGAAGACAAACTCAGGTAAAAAAGGGTTAGTTACCTATAACCACTGGGTAGGGTTATGGTTAAAGAGTGTATGAAAGGCATCTCCTTTCAGTTCCCCTCCCATCATGATAATCAGCTATGTCCTATGTCAGAACATTGTTATGTAATCTGATAATAAGCATTCAGCTGAGCAGTTACTTTAATTCTGTCACTGGCCCTCATACCAAGGTTGTCTAGGTCTAGCTCTCGATATCTCTGTCTACAATAACTATTACTAATTCCAGTTCTCCTGGAGTGGTTGAGAAAAGGAATTAAAGAACATTATATCATCTATCATTTAGTCTTTAAAATAATTGCTAATTACAATTAATTATAATGTCAAGATTTTAGATTACATTTAAATTATTCAGTAATTTTAGAAAGTTATATTCTAAAGTGTATTTGTATTTGTTTTGAATCCCTATTTTTATGTTTCAAAAAACTCAAGATGACTTGGTCAATTCTTGAATTTTAAATGTTTTCTCCATTTCTTTTGATTGTTACCTGCAAAGATTAATTAGTGTACCTCAATGCTTTTACAGATGTCAAGAATGCATTTATTCTTCAAGGTCCTAAACATGAATGGATTTGTGCTACCGAGGTAGAGGATGATAAATTCCTATGGTTATCCGTACTCCAAAATGCAATCAAAAGTAGTATGAAGAAGTGAGATTGGACCCGAAGAAAACATCAGGGTGCTAATTCTTCCTGGCAAAGATAGACAACATGTTATTTTCTGTTCCAGAATATCCAATAAGAACAGAATGATTATTAGTCACAAATGATGAGAGGAATGAACTAGGATGATCCATAAATTTGCTTTAACATTTAAACTTTACCATCTATGCTCACTTATGTGGAATGTACAATCAGAACAATCTGAGTCCAAAATTTTAAAACACTTTTTTTGGTAATTATTTTTCATGGACAATATTATTTGACTAATGTAATGAAACCTAAGAGCAAGCATACCGTGTAAAATTTTTTTTATGACCTAATGGAAAATAAAATTAGAATGAAAAGTATTTCTTAAATGACCAGTCTAGTAAAATATTTTGATGATTTACTAATCATCTTTAAAATTTTCACAAAACAATTACTGATTTAAAATATATGTATAATATAAATGGAAACTTACTCAGAAACTTGTTAAACATATCAATATGAATGTACTCCTCTACAAAGCATTAAAAATATACAACTACAAACTATTAAAGTATTCTGTAATTTTTAAGTGTTTTTTTTTCCTGATTGCAAAACTAAATTCTTAGTTCTTAGAAATAAGCTTTAAAAATACTTGTAACATTGTTAAATTAGAAGGCTACTGAAAAAAAAGCAACTTTTCAAAAGCAAAAGTAAATGTAAATCTAGCAAAACCTGCCTGTAATGAAATTTAGCAGAGTAAAAATGAAAAAATTAAGATAGTTCTGTTTAAAACAAAGAGCGAGCAGGAATAGGTATGAATAGTTTCCTAGGCCTTTAAAACCTTCATTTGGTTATTTAACAAACTAAAGCCATACTGTTTGTCACTTGGAAATTTTAACTGATGTATGTAGTAGTAATAGTATTTTTGCTTAGTTAATGCTAGGTGAAAGTTATATTAATCTTCGAAGCTTTGGGTTGTCAGTTCTTTTTTGCTTCATATCTTTCATTTAAGATAGAATATACTGGTAGAGTCTAGGGCTGTGACCCTAGAACTATTTGAACATTTTCTTCTTTCAACAAGGAAAATACAAATTCCTTCCAATTCTTAAAAATTTAGATTCTTGTTAAAAAATGTACAAAAGTTAAAATATTGTGGTTTTATTAATGTAAAGTCACACTTCTGATTCTGTTAAATCTACGTAGTTTAACCTCTATGATCCTATAGAAAGAATAAACCTTAAAGGGAATATCTGCTGTCAGCAATGAATGCAAACTTACAAATGTGATCAAAATGTATATATCACATAATATAAAACAAATCCTAAAACAGTGTATTATCCTCAATAGGGCATACTCCAGAAACTGTTAATAGAAAAAACCTGCCTGTGTGGTAAAAGAATGAGTGACAAGGTAACTGAAGGTAAACTACAAATTTTAAGGAATTTCATTTATTCTGTGACTAATTGATATCCTCAGGAGTTTTAAAATATGTTATTTGGAAATAATCTTTGTAAAACTTTTAATAGAGACTTAAATGCATAAATCACACAAAAGGTGGCGATGCTTCTGAGTCAACAGTACTTATGTAGTGGTTTCGCACTTTCCCTTTGCTTTGAGGAGACAATTAAGAAAGGCCTGCTGCTGGGGCCGGCCCGGTGGCGCACTGGATAGTGCGCCACTTGGGAAGCACGGCAGCGCTCCCGCCCGAGGGTTCGGATCCCACATACAGACCGGTTCCCGCTCACTGGCTGAGCGAGGCGCGGGAGCAGCACCGAGGGTTGCGGTCCCGTTGCCGGTCCCCGGTCCGGTGCAGGGGCAACACTGAGGGTTGCAATCCGTTGCCGGACACGGAAAAAGACAAAAGACAAAAGACAAAAAAAAAAAAAAAAAAAAAAAAAAAAGAAAGGCCTGCTGCTTTGGGTTGAATGTCCCCCAAAACTTAATCCCCACTGTAACTGTTCAGGGTGTGAAATCCTATTATGGTAATTGAAATGTGGGGCCTTGAAAAGGTAGTTAGATTGTAGGACCAAGACTTAGGGAATGGATTAAAAATGGTGGTCATGGGCATGGTTTGGAAGATTTTAAAAGGGGAGCATGAAGAGTCTGTCCCTCTTTCTGCTACACCATTTCACAACGTGATACCCTGCCATCACTGTCACCACCACCAAGGCCTTCACCAAATGTGCTCCCTGGAGTTTGGATTTGCAGCTTCTGAAACTATAAGGAATAAATTCCATTTTCTTTCTAAATTACTCAGTTTGAGGTATTTTGTTATAAGCAACAGAAAGACTAATACACCTGTCTTTATAGCTATTTCATAAGTTTACATGACTGCTGCTGAATTAAAATCTCATCCCAAAATATTCAAAGTCACTGGTGAAACTGATCAAATTTTCACAAGGAAAATATAAAATCTGACTTCTAAATTGACTTGTAAGAGAAATGTGGAAATACCATGTGACTTCTAAAGAATGTTGATTACTGCAGAGAGGAAGACTTTTCTAGTAAATTAGCTTATGGTGAAAACTGCCTTATCCAATATAGTTCTTTAAAATCAAAAATTAAAAAGGAAATTCATTTTAAAGACTTTTACAGAATATGGAAAATATTAAACCTGAAAGAGGACAAACTGACAAGTTTACTTAATTTTATTTTCCTTTTGCAAAGATTTCCAAGTGCATGCTTGAAATGTAAATGAGAGGGCCGGTCCGTGGCTCACTTGGGAGAGTGTGGTGCTGATAACACCAAGGCCAAGGGTTTGGATCCTATATAGGGATGGCTGGTTAGCTCACTGGGTGAGCGTGGTGCTGACGACACCAAGTCAAGGGTTAAGATCCCCTTACCAGTCATCTTTAAAAAAAAAAAAAAAAAGAAAGAAATGTAAATGAGAAGCCTATTCTGTAAGTCAAATCTGTGTGTGGTTTTGGCCATGTAAATATAATGGACCAATGTTATATATTCCTGATGCTATGGAATAGCTAGGGTGTGCCAACAAACACAATATACCCTCCAGAAAAAGTCATCCTGACCCTTTTATTGTTGAAATTAAAAAATAAAAGAAACTTAAATACAATGGTGAACATATAGGGCAAAACAGAATCATAAAATTTAATGTTGAATTAAGCAGTGAGCTGAACGTTTGGGTCTCCAAATTGGCTTTGAACCCAAAACCGCTTAAAAATGGGTATGTTCACAGTTAACGGCAATTGGCTTATAGGTGAGAGAATGGTCGAAGCTGTTCCAGTTGAACTTCCAGGGAAATTCTCTCCTCAAGAACATCCTGAAAAAGATGCAAAGACCAAGATATGTTTCAAAGTCCATAAAAATGAGGGCACATCTAATAGCAGCTCTGCTTCAAGAAAACAATTTAAATTTGTCAAGACAACTAAGGGATAGCTATTCATATTTTTAAAGTATACTTCACTTTAGAAAGGTAGTTTCTTTACATGTCTATAATATTAAAATATTTTCCTAATAATTTAAATCTTTTTTTTATTACATAAATCAGGGTAATAAAATGCTTTTGGTCTGATCATTAGAAAAGCCAGTATTTGTAATGGATGGGTGTCAATGCAGGAATTTTGCATTAAGCCTGCCTCCTAAATTAATTGTAAATGAATCAGTTAACATAGATTTTTTCCCCTAGGGATGGCATCTGTTTATAGCAACTCCTGGATCTCATTTTGATTTTGAGCAGTCTTTTCAGATAGTCATTAAATTCTAATTTACTTTCTTTTTTTCTTTTTCTCTATCATACTGATAGGATCTTGTTTTAACCAGACTACCTCTTCCTATGATACCTTACTTCCTATTTTCTGTTCTCAGAGATAATGAAAAAAGTGATAATGTCTCCTATATACTGTGGTTTTCCCTAGTTTTTCTGAAAGACTTGCATTAACAATATTTTCATCTTCAAGGTATGATACCAGGAAACTTGTCCTTAAGTTTTATATCCTTCCTTTACAATGTATCAAATTCATAATCATACAACAGCTACAAATGTCTTCTCCTTTGATCAAAGAGTTATACAAGAATATCATTCATTCAACAGACATTTATTAACTGTCTAACATATGCTAGGTTTTGGGGATTGAGACAAGATGGCCGTAAGTTTATCTAGAACAGTCCCAATTTACACCTGATGTCTTGGCCTAAATGTTAATACAATCCTCCCTCTTTTCTCTCAAAAGTATCTTGGTTTGGACAACATATTACATGGTCATCCTAAACAGAAATGATTATGACTTAACCTCAATGAGTTTAGTTTATCAGGACAGAGAGATACATGTGCCATAGATAATAATTCCAGGACAGTGTGATAAATAGTAGATGAGGGATATGAACAGAATGTTATAGGAATGAACTAATCGCATTCATTTTACATTTCCATGAGCTCTTTTCTCCTCATCTTTGTGATTTACAACCCTGCCATTGAAAGTGGGGCCAACAGTCCAGCAGCATCTCACATCACCTGGAAACTTATTAGAAATGCAGACCCACACCTACTAAATCAGAATCTGCATTTTAACATGATCCCAGATTATCTGTATATACATTAACGTTTGAGAACCACTGGTTTATAAGACACGAGTGCTTAATAATGTTGGTGAACCATAAGTGATTCTGGGTGTAATTTTTATTTGTAGGGATTCAAAGAAATCATAGTTATAATGAGAAAAACAAAGTCACTCCTCTCAAGTACCAGATGACAGTAGTACACACTGTACATAAGCACCATTTCCATTTAAGGCCTGTCTTTGCTTTTTCTACATGCATGATGACCTAAATCGCCCCCACCTTTCTCTCTCTTTAGACCTGTTTAAGTTGCCTTAATAGAATCTGAGTTATCTTTGATAAAATGACAAACTAAATCACTAAGAATTAAATAGAGCATAGAGATCCTTGTATGTGATCTGGGAGGTACCTGAGGTCACATTATTTCTTCTCTTAAGGTTTCTTTATGAAAGTTAAAGAACATTATAGGAATAGCAATACCTTATATACATAGGATAAGGCAATATACACTAGAACTGAATATAAAAAATTCCTTCTAGTACTAAAAGATTCAAAGCTCATAAAACATTTTAGATGCACGTTTCTCTTGCTAAACAAGAAGTTTCCCACAAGCATAAGAACTGCTGGATCACCTCTAAGTTCCCCCTCAACTCTGAGATGCTCTGAGTCCATGGAATTTCCCAAATAAAGATCCGGAAACTACATTACCTTTAATTGTTGCTGCAATTCACTATTCAATCTGGCCAAAACTGTGTTGGTTTCCTTATTGCGTCTAATTGATGCCTGAATAGCTTTCTTATCTTTCCCAACAGATCTGAGAAGATAAAGGGGGCAAAAAAATAAACTTCATTTCTTGTATTTAAACTCTCTCCATTCTTCCCTGATATATTTCTAAACATGGAAAGCAGGGGGAGCATCTTTTTCCTTATTAGCACAGCTCAACCTCTCATCCTCAGTTTCATTGGTAAACGAAAAGTGTCTAAACTTCAGAATCTTAAATTTAGTATTGTTATTGTTTTAATTCTTCTTCTGTAAAATCACCTGAGTTTAAGTTAAATATTCCAGAGCAGGCATTGGCAAGCCTTTTCTGTAAATGTGCAGACAGTAAATATTTTCGGCTTTGCAAGCTGTCCAGTTTTTCTGTTGCATTTTCTAGTTTTTTTGTTTCTCTTTTCTTTCCTCTATTATTCTCTTTTCTTTTCCTTCTATTTTTTTTAAAAAAGTAAACTTAGTTCAACAGCTATACAAAAACAGGCCACGGGTTGAATTTGGCCCATGAGCCTTAGTATGCTGACTCCTGGCCTAGACCCACCATATTTAAAATATCAGTTTTACTCTACATTACCAACTTTAGAAACATCTGCTCCAGGGTTTGCAACAGGGTGTTACAATGGAATTGGAATTGAACTAATAATAAAGTGGAAAAAATATTCTACCTACTCATAAATGAAAAATTACTTAAAGAATAGCTAAAAACCTCTGCTTAACTAAAGAACTAGTTTGACCATAATTTCTTTCAGTTTGATATTTTTAATTGTTGTGCTTTTTGTCCCTGGTAATTAAATGTGTTTAGGAATAGCTTTGATTACCTAGGAATAGAAGGCTGTGATGCAAGAACAGCAGCTAAGACACCTGTCTTTTGTGTATGTTCATCGACTTCTGGCCTTAGTTCATCTTCTGATTTTAATCTTCTTCGAACAGGTTTAGGTGGTGGAGCGAGAGGTGTTGTGCCTTTGCTCTAGAAGATAAGAATTCCATTAATAATAAGCATTTTTTGAAGACATTCATGGTTTGTTAGCATTTTGCCAACACCATTTGCTTTCTTTAAGCCACATGCTCCCAAAAAATTGAAAGTCACTTGTCTTATTTTAAAACAATTTAGATGTTGTGGCAACAGCTAACTTGAGGGAAAGGATGTTTCTAGTTGACACTGCAACCATCAATATACTTACAATACAAATTTTTTAAAAGAGCAACGTAAGCTCCTTGAGGTCTGAATCTGATTCAAGACTGTAATATTCAGTTCTGGCTTAAACATGATACAGGCTCAATATATATACCTGTTCAATAAATAAATAAAGGGAGTCTCTGGAAATGGCCATCCATTATCACTATAGAATTTCCTGCTCAAAAATACTAAAATACATCATCTTGCTCAGGATTGCTTTGGCTATTCGGGGTCTTTGTTGTTCCATATGAATGTTTGGATTGCTCTATTTCTGTGAAGAATGTCATTGGTATTTTGATGGGGATTGCATTGAATCTGTAGATTGCTGTGTGTAGAATGGATATTTTCAGGATGTTAATTCTTCCCAACCAAGAGCATGGTATGTCTTTCCACCTTTTTGTGTCCTCTTTTAACTTCTTTTAGTAGTGTTTTGTAGTTCTCATTGCAGAGATCTTTCACCTCCTTGGTTAAATAGATACCTAGGTATTTTATTTTTTTGGTGACTATTGTAAATGGGCTTGCTTTCTTGATTTCACTTTCTACCAGTTTGTTATTGGAGTATAAAAACACTATTGATTTTTGGGTGTTGATTTTGTATCCTGCAATATTACTGAAATTGTCAATCAGCTGTAAGAGTTTTTTGGTAGAGTCTATAGGTTCTTCTATATATAAGATCATGTCATCTGCAAACAAGGATAGTTTAATAGATAAAAAAATACATCATCTTAATCAGTAAAAGAATTTATTATAAAGAAGCCGAAAGCTAGGCAAGGCTTTAAAAAAAATACCATTAAAATGCACAGTAATCATAACTCTTGAAAATAAGTGAACATTTGTATTAGAGATTGTGAATCTGCCCCCAACAGAATCAAATATGGTACTTTGGTATTTACCATAATCTTATTTACCAGTAAATAAATAAAAACAAGAGTGAAATGTTTAAATGCTATTTTTAATTTGTTGCCATGAGTTGACAAACATAAATTCATTAAGTGAGAAAATCCATGTACTAGTAATGTAGTAAAAAATAAAGTGTCCAGAAAGTAGAATTTAAGCACTTTCAGAAACATATGCTGTTATAATAACTATTGGGAATGTCTGGATAACAGGAGAAAAAAAAAAAGGTGTTAAATTGTTCTCTGAAGAAGAAAGTGTACTGATCTCTGCAATTTCAAATGCATAAAACAGATAAGAAGAATTGACTGACGGAATGGAAAGATAAAAAAAGTATAAAAAGTCTAAAGCAAGTATAATAAAATATTAATGTATAATCAAGGCAGTGAGTTTTATCGATATACAGTGTAAAATTCTTTTAACTTTTCTGTATGTTTAAAATTTTTCATAATGTTGGGGGAAAAAATTATCACTAAAACAGTTAAAGAAGTTAAGAGTATAGAATACAACATTAACCTTAGAGGGTTAATAATTTTTCTATATCATACTCGAGATTGCAATAAAACAAACTGAATTTGACCTGTAAAGAAGTTCTACTTTATATATTTGGAAAAATGTAATAACCACAAAAATTTTGAGAACCTATGCCATGTAATAATACAGATTACAGAACATCATCTCCATTAAATAGGCAAACCTTGTTCTGAGATAGACTAAACTATTACAGTTAAAGGCAGTAGAATGGGTTAGATGATTTCAAGTTGACTCAATTTCTAAAAATTATCTTATATAACTTTTCATATGCACAAAATTATCAATATTATAAAAGACTTTCTGCATACCACATTGGCGGGAGCACTAGCAGCTGTCTTTTCTTCAATTTTACTATCTGTTTTGGCAACTCGAAGAGAACTTGCAGGATCAGAAGTCTTTTCAACCTACAGATGAACATATTATCAGTATTAATTATATATAACATGTAATTATGCATGAATATAGACTATGTAGCGAATCAGAGTAAAATGTTAATATTCATTTTGACATCAAAAAATCTGAGAGCAAGATGAAGAGGAACTTGAAAAGGCCTTGTTGAATGACCTTTCTCTGCTACAGAAGGGGAGGGTAGAGGGAAGGCTACAGATCTGAGAGGGAGAGGAGGGTAGGGTGAGGATGCAGCCGCTGCCGTGGGACCTCAAAGGTGCTGGTCTGGGAAGCTCTGGTGGTTGGCAGAGGGGCTGCATCTCCCCAGGGGAATGACTATCAGAACCCTGTGCACACTTGAACTTGCCCTCAGGCCCATCTTTGCCTTCCTACCAGCAGCCCATTCCCTTCCTTATTGGGCCAGGCAGAAAATTACAGGTTTGAAAAAGTGGCCAGTAGGAAATTTTCCGTGGATCAGATCTACAGGAAAACTTTATTTAAATTAAGCCAGTCAAATAAACATGGATTTCTGGATCTGTTAGGCTTAACATGGGTTGAAACCATCAGAACAGAGATTTCAGAATTTCTCTGGTCCCTCCAAATCCACATTTACGCTCAGTGATTTAGATTAAGGATTCCTAGAGAAGTTCTTGACACTAGAACTAGGACAGAATATCCTGGAATGTCATCTGCAAAGATTAAACCTTGGCATCCTGTAGTCTGTAAATCTGACTAAGGTAGCTTTACTCATACAAACTGAGATTAGTTATAGTAACCATAGCCTCTTGTCGCATGGACATCTTCACCAAATCACACAATCAGATGCTTAGCATTAAGATGAAACCCCCAGAGCAGTGTTTCGGCCAGTAGCAGTTGGCTGTGTTTATGCCTTTTCACACCACACCTCTACCCTCAACCCCCCACCTGATTCTGATTCTTAGTAAACATTATATTGCAACTAGCAGGTGTCAGAGGTCAATAAAAAAGTTAAGAAGCATTGACCTAGGAAATATAAATCCTCTAAAAGAGACAGCAGCAGGCATTTTATTCGCTGCTGTCCCCTCTAATATCTGCCCTTTTAGAAGTTCCTCTGTTTACAGACAGGCTTATGAGCATGAGATGGGAAGAGACTGCCAGGAGAAAATTAGCTAAGCCCTTGAAAACTGACCGGCAAGACCTCTGGATGTTTCTCGGCATCATCATCTTGTTCTTCATTCACGTTTGATGCAGCAAATACTTCAAATTGGCTGAAATCTGCAAAATTTGGTTGTTCTGGTATCTGCTGAGGTGAGGTACTAGTGTGAGTTATTAGGCCATCGGCATCCACTGGGCGATGCACAATGGGACCAGGAGCCTGTATAATGGTTTTGAATAGAGGAACAAACATTTCATTGGCATGTCAGTGTCACAGAGTAGCTTTCTTTTTCTTTGAAAATATAAAGATGCTCTGTTTCATTATCTGTAAATTCAGGGCAGGGTACTACAGAACATTTAGCTCTAAATAAATGGTTAAGTGAAAAGCTAAGACACACACAAAAATTAAGATATTGGGATAAACCTCCAATAAAAGATACTTTTTTTGTGTGTGTGTCCTTTTTGAGACCGGCTGCACCGCACTCAGCCAGTGAGCGCTGTGAACACACCGGTCATCCTTATATAGGATCCGAACCCGCGGCGGGAGCGCTGGTGCGCTCCCAGCACCGCACTCTCCCAAGTGCGCCATGGGCTCGGCCCAAAAGATACTTTTTCAAAAACTTTATTTTAGAGAAAGTACGTGGAAGGAGAGGGAAGGGTCTGGCCCTACCCTGACTCTCCACTTACACCTATTTTTTAAAATGGGATACCAATACGTCATGTACACTTTCCTTCTATTTGTCTTCCACTCCTTTGCCAGACCAATGCTGCTAAAATCTTCAGTCTAAAAATACATTTATTAAATGTCTGTTTTGTGCCAGACAGTATGGATACAGTAACAAACAAAACAAATAAGGCCCATGCCCTAATAAAACTGACAGTCCAGTGCAGGATAAGAGAGTGAACAAGGAATCACAGAGAACAAGAAATCAAGTGAGACGTTTTATGACAAAAGTAAAGGATGCTACAGGAATAAATCTGAAGTCTCTTTCCTGTTTACCCTTTAAAAATTCTCCATCTCCTAAAGGAACACTATCATCTTAGTATGATATGGGAAATGCTCTGCTCCTCCCTCCCTCTCCAGTTTCATTTTCCATCACTGCACAAGCCACTCCAGTTGTACTGGACTAACTTGTTTTTCCCTGAAGAATATGCCAGGCTTCTCACACATCTCCATGGCTTTGTGGATGCCATTCTTTCTGTCTGGAATGCCCTCTCCCCAAGAGATTTCGCTTTATCTTTCAAGTCCCCACTTAAGTCTTGCTTCCTTCATTTTACTTACACCTTCTCTATACCCTGACCTTACTAGCCACAAGGCTGTCCCAAAGCATTTTATAAATATATCTACCACAATACTTCCATTTTGACCTGGAAGAGATGCAGAGGTCACTTTAACCTCCTTTGCTGATGTGGTAATACATTCGGAGAGACATAGGGAAGTCACTCTGTGAGTCACTGCAAGACTCAGAACATTAATGGACATCTCCTACCTCCCAATCCATTGTTCTTTCCACTAAACTCTCCTTTGTCAAGACATTATCATTTGTTTCACTTTTAAGGTTCCTTAAAAAAATAACTCAGATCATTACTGAAATCCTTATCTTCCAAAATAAGACTTAACTTCGCTGAATTAAGTGCTCATTAAGAATGACCATTAGGTAATTCCTGATCTTCCAAACAGTTCTAAAATAGAATTGAATACCTAATAGACAAATTGGTCATGTGGACTATAATGACTGACATTTAGTAATGAATACTTTGGAGAATTACCTGTGAGGGCTGTGGTCTTGGAGGCACTGCAGGAGGATGGGCAACAACTCCAGCCTGTTGTTGTCCTGCATGAATAAACAAGTCTTCTTTTTAATAAATACATAATCACTTTGCCAACAGAAGAAACAGTTTAAATGAATGTGACCAGAAGACAAAGATTTCTAAAAATCTCTATGGGATCTAAAGGCCAAACCTCCTGGCCTTTTCTCAGACCTCATTTCTCTCATTACCTTGATTACATGAGACATTCTTGACATGTTCCTGCCTGTTTCCAGAACACCATATGTTCTTGGTTTTCTTCTCATATTTCTAACTGCTCTTTATCTATCAAACATGAAGACTTCCAAATTTTCCCTTTCACTTAATGCTTTACTCTAACATTTCTATGTAAATGACTCTCAAATAATACATCAACCTTTCTCAGATCAAAAGTCCAATGACCTGTTGATTATTTACCCCTTTCTTCACCATTACAAACTCATGAATGACTAAAACATAACATCACCTCCTTCTGCCCTAACTTTTCTATTTCTATCAATGTAATAATAATGCCAATTAAACAAAAATTGAAACCTTGAAGTTTGTTATGACTTTTCTCTCTCCTTCATCAGCCAAAACAAGACCTATCAGTTTTCCCCTTTTCCCCACATCTTTCTTTTTAAATTTCCTGTGGCATCTCTTAGGTTCCCATCTTTATATCTGTACTCAAACATACTTTAGATAGTTAAGAAAAAATAATTCCCTCTCACCTGATGTCTTTTTAATCAAAAGTTTTTCTTCAGATAAATATAAAAAAAGACATATTAAAAGACACAAAAACAAAATGTTGTATATGTGTCTTGAATTAACTTTAAAATTAAAATGATAATGATATTATGGTTCTGTGGCTCCTACCTGTGGTGACTGCAAAGGTCCGATTCATATCTAAAGATGATGATCTAGAATGAGAGGGCTGTGGCCTTGGAGGAGGAGGCGGTGGTGCAGTGTTATCAGGGGACGTTCCTGAATGAGACCTGCAAAATTCACCCCATCACAATTGGTCATGCTACTGATAATGGAACTTTTTTCTGTTTAAGCATTCAAACTTAGCTAAGGAGCAAAACATTTTATTAGCATTATGTTTTCTCAAGCAAGTAAACAAGTATTAAAATAAATACAGATAGTGCTGTTTATGGTGTGCCCTGAACAACTGGTTATTTAATGTGGCAAAAATTTTTTTAATAAAGTTATACATTAAACAAAATTTCAAAACTTTTGAAAAGGAAGTTAGATGTCAACATGATTTCAAGATCAACTGCAACCCTAGTGTAATGTTTTCCCATTCAGTTAAAGGTAAAACGAGTCTGCAAAAGAGAAATTCTACTTTGAGATATGGTTAGTTTCAACTTATTAAAGTTTAGATTTTGGTACAATAAGGCAGAATCTGGCTCAACTATTTGAGGTGCCCATCCTTGTGTCACCATGGGCCATCCCGTTTTAGGGGTGACTATACTGAAGCTCAACTCACCCTAGAGATTCACTTCTTTGCTATCAAAGTCTTCTATGTTCTGAAAAGAGTCTCTATGGACTGTGGCAATCTAAACTTTGCATACTGGCATAAAAAGCAGAATAAAATTCAAGATGACTGAGATCTCTTTTAAGAAACACAGGAACTTTATGTGAAGAATCAGAAAGACAAGCAGCCTTCTGACACTGTACACTCTCTGAGAGTCTGTATTACTAGTCTCTCTCTATATCTTATAGGCATGTGTCAAAAGGATATTTACCAAGTACAAAAAGTGAGGAAAGATGCATCTGACCTGCACAGAGCTTTTAATGCCTGGTAAAGCCTTGCAGACAAAGCCTCTGCCATCCTCTACCCTACCCTATGCCTTTCCTGTTTGTGCCTGAAAGGTTATGTGTAACACAGAACTTTAGGGTGGGTAGGCAGCCCACCACTGGGCTGTGCTTCTGGATGGCGTTTTGAAACACAGAAATCTTTTGGTACTTGCATAAGGCTATCTTATACTTACTACTTAAACACACATTCACTGTTTAGGTACCAAAAAGACTATATTATACTTCTATTGCCAAGAAGTTACCAGGCCTTTGTAGACCTTCCACAAAATATCATGAAGAAAATCAGGGTTCCTGTTGTTTTCTATTCAGGATGGAGAGAATCAAAATTACTTGTCATTTACATAAAATAATCAGTAACAGCCTTCAGAGAACAAAATAATCTGTGCTTGGTTAAATAATTTTAAATATTAAAATGCAAAAAGACATTTTAACATACTTTTTATTGACAGAAATACTGACCTTTGACGAGTTACATTGCTCCCGATCTGTTCTGGGTCAGAAGTAAAGGAGTCTGAACTACTGTAACCATCTGCTGATAAATGGGATATGTCCTATTTAATAATAATCATTTCTTCACTTTTTGCTCTATGTACCCCAAACAAATATAACTGATATACTGTTTCAAATCAGAGATATTCAAAGACTGGGTAATTGGCTTAACAGTTCATCCCAGTGTTAATTGTAAAAAATTAAATGGTAACAAAATAAACCATGATATATTTGTACAGCAGACAGAACAAGTTATAGTCTAGAAGAAATAAAATTGAATAATTCAGAAATATTCAAAATGAGTCACAAAATAGTACATATACAGTTGACCCTCCATATCTGCAGGTTCCACATCTGCAGACTGAACTAACCACAGATAGAAAATATTCAGAAAAAAAAAAATATTAATACAACAATAAAAAGTAATACAAATAAAAAAAATAGTCATACAGTATAAAAACTATTTATATAGCATTTACATTATATTAGGTATTAAAAGTAACCTAGAGATAATTTTTATGTATAAGGGAGAATGTGCAGAGGTTACATGTAAATAATAATCCATTTTATATCAGGGACTTGAGCATTTGAGGATTATGGTATCCTCAGGATGTCCTGGAACCAATACCCCGTGAATACCAAGGGACGACTGCATTACAATTTTATATTATATAAAAATATAACTATTTTATGTGATAATGAATTTATTGATCATGGTCAATTGTGGAATAGTGAAAATAAAAATAATTATTTTGTTTTTGTTTATCTATTACATTTCTACAGTATGAATTACTTTTGTAATAAAAAAGTCACTTTCTAAAGAACAAATTAGAGGTCCCTAATTCTTCTCCAGAGGAAATGTTACTTTCAATTTCCTCAAAGTCTTATGAAGCAGCAGAGAATCCCAGAAATAGACTAAGAGTTGTGACAGAATAAAGAAAATTTAAAATAGAAACTCTAGGGATAACTTGAAGGTAGAATACCACGACACATTCAAGAGTTATAAATTGAAGGGATTAGTTATTTGGTTTAGTTTCATTTCAAAATATATCCTTTTCCTTCTCAAATCACAGAATTTAGTTGGTATGAGCAAGATGTTAAAATGAATATACTTCCATTTGAATGTTCTAATAGGCATCTAAAATTTCAGATGTCCGAAACTGAACTCCTATTCTTCTCCCACAAACCTGCTGTTTTCACAGCCTCCCTCATCTCTCAGTTGTACAGGCCAAAACCCCTGGAATCACCCTTGACTCCTGTCTCTCTCACATCCTACATCACACAGGTAAGCAAATCCTGTGGTCTTTTCCTGCAACATGTACAAAGTATAGCCAGAATCTGACCACTTCTCAGGACCTCCACTTCTACCACCCCAGACCAAGACATCATCTTGCCTGAATACTAATAACTGTCTCCTAAATTGTCTTTGTCTGTTTTGACTCAACTTTTTCTGGCCTATTATCAGCCAGAGTGACCCTGTTAGAAAGGAAGCTCAGATCATGTCACTCCTCCATTCAAAACCTTCTTATGGCTTTTCATCTCACTCAGGAAAAGTCAAAGTCTTACACTGCTTCCTGTTAGCTACTATCCTACCACTTGCTACCTCTGTCTGCCAAACTCGTTAACTAATTTTATCGCAGGTGTTTGCTTACTGTTCCAGCAGAAGCAAGTTTTCTGCCTTATGGCTTTACATTTGCTTGCCCTTGTCCCTTAACTATCCTTCCTTCAGGATTCATATGGTTGAACCCCTGATCTCCTTTCAGTTTGAACTCAATGTCACCTTTTGGTAAGGCCTTCCTTGACCACTTCAGTTTAAATGGCACTCTCTCTCCCCTTTCCCAGCTTTACTTTTATCCATGGTATTAATTACTTTCTAATACAAGAGTTATTTACTCTTTCCCCCACTTCTCGCTTATCTCCCTTACAGATTGCCAACTCTATGCGGGCAAAGATTTTTTTCTGTTTTTTTTTTTTTTTTACTGCAAATATCTCCAGTGCCTAGAACAGAATTTGGCACACTGTATCCAATTAACATTCCTAAATGAATGAATATATACACAATTACTTGTGAGAGAGAAAGAAAGGAGAGAGTAGGTAAGAACCAACTGACCAAACCTGCTATATCGAGAGGGATGGCAAACAAGAGGCCTTCCTTGAAGCAGGTGGCAATGGGAAACCATTTACTCATATACAGTATAGGATGTTTAGAGGGTTGACTATTCTCCTCTGCTTTATTCAGTGCAAACAGTATTAAATAGCTATACATTTGAATTATTCAGACTCTAAATCCAGACCTAATAAACTTCAAATGGAGATATGATACTATCTTTCACTTACCTACAGTATTTCCAGAAGCAAATTTCACTGATGAATTTATCTTATTTTCTTCTGAAAGGTCAGATGGTTTCACAAGTAATGGGCTAGTGGGATTAGTATGATCTAGTAGAGAATTAATAGGTAAAAATACAAGATATAGATATACGAATTGATAAATTCATAAACTTCTGAGTATAATAAGATTTCATTTAGATATTCCAAAGATGTGGCAGGTAAATTCATGAAATATAAGACAAAATAATATATTCAATAAAAACAATGTAAACGTGTTTATATAAAATTTTGTTTTCTACCATAAGAGAAGGTACTTTATAATGAAAAAATTTATTTGCATGTTCACATTTTGTTAATTTTATCCCTGTAGTGCAATTACTTAAACAAAAAAACCACACATACGGCGGTAAAATAAGTTAACTTGTGATGCTGACTATACACAAAATAAATCTATCTTTGAGAAACCTAATTAAAACATTTAGTCTAAAATGAGGGAAAATTCCAAGAGTTCAAGCAAATATATAATTTCAAAGCCAAAATTTATTTTAACATATACAAGAATGCTTCAAAAAGTTCACAGAAAAACAGAATTTAATGATAATATGAATCTTTTCATGAACTTTTTGAAAACCCCCTGTATATCTTCAGTTAAAGTCTGAACATACTTTAAATGTAAATTCACACACAACAGTGACCATAAACCACCATAGGGTATTAGAAATGGCACATTTTCAAGTGTCCTTATTTTAGAATTTTATAATTTAAAATCAATAATTTCCTTAAAAAACCTACAATATAAATAAATATACATGCATGTACATACACATATAAATGTAGAAAGTACTAGGTTAAAAAATAAGCAATTATGAAAGAAATCTGAACCTTGACTGAATAATTACCTAAATATTTTAGTTTGATGCTAAACTAAAATACAACACAGCAAAGATTCCTTACCACTGCCAGTTCTTTTAAGTTCCATTTCCTGCATGTGGATTTTACTTGGAGTCATACGAATGGGAACTGGATGAACAATAGCAGTATCCTGGAGACAAATGGGAAGGAATACAGAATTTACATTAAAAATGCAAAGCTAATACCACGAAATAATCAAAACTAACAACACTGTAAAAGACTGGTGGACAGACTTCATTCACACTAATGCGAGCATAAAAATAAATTGTTTAAATGAGAAGTTCTAGAATTATTTTTAAAAATGAAGTTCACTATACATGGATGCCAATCTGATTTATTTTTTTAAAGTACATTTTAAATTGAGTGATTAAAGATATGTGTAAAAAAATGCTCCTATAAAAAAATAGTTCAAGACAGTATTCAAAAACAACCAGATTAATTTGACCTGTTTAAACCTCTTTTAAAATTTAGCATGAAACTTCTACAAAGGAATACTTTTTTTTAAGAGGAACAAACAAGACTCCTAAGTCTAACATGCTAATACTTTTCTTTTCTTTTCTTTTTTTTGGTCTTTTTTCGTGACTGGTAAGGGGATCGCAACCCTTGGTGTGGTCACCCGCACCGCGCTCAGCCAGTGAGCACATCCGCCAGTCCTATATAGGATCCGAACCCGTGGCGGGAGTGTCGCTGCGCTCCCAGCACCGCACTCTCCCGAGTGCACCACGGGGCCGGCCCAATGCTAATACTTTTCTTTTCTTTTCTTTTTTTTGGTCTTTTTTCGTGACTGGTAAGGGGATCGCAACCCCTGGTGTGGTCACCCGCACCGCGCTCAGCCAGTGAGCACATCCGCCAGTCCTATATAGGATCCGAACCCGTGGCGGGAGTGTCGCTGCGCTCCCAGCACCGCACTCTCCCGAGTGCACCACGGGGCCGGCCCAATGCTAATACTTTTCTTAATCCTTTTTCATGACTGTATTACATCTGATATTTCTAAACTTATGAGTAGCAAGTCTAGTTAGAGAAGGAAAGGAATTAATAGTACAGACTTTTGAAAAGAATGAAGGAGCAAAAGGCAAGGAAGAGAGGATCAAGAGGATCAAGCAAAAGGCAATAAGAGAGAGGTGCACCTGGGACACAGGTAGGCCTGGCCCTGGGGACTGAGACCCCTCAGGGAAGGAACCAGAACCAGATCAACTACGAAGAGTAACAGCAACAGACCAGGTGAAAAACATCACTAAGGGGGCTTGGTTCCTTCCATAAGTCAGTTCATACTTTGTATGTGCTGCTGCTGAGGACTGAATTTGAGATCCTTACACTTCCTTGTTACATTTTAGTAACAAGTTTATTAGTTTAGTGTGGAGGATAATGACTTTTCATAGTTTAAGTCAGACATTGTTTTGGTGATAGTACTGAGTTAACACCAAGCCCCTGTTAGAGAAAATTAAGTACAGCATTCAGTCTCTACAGGTCTCCTTGGCTTACTCTCATAATCTCTAAATTCAAACAATTTATAACGAATTCTTTATGGCCACTATACTGACAAATACATTCAAAGTAATCTCCTGCCCCTACACCAGTGATAATCTGGACAGGGCTCATTTAACCCATCAACCTGAACTAACATTTCCCCCACAATTCAAATTATAGTTATAAAAATGAATATTATAGATGGATAAAAGTTTAGACTATTCATGAGTCATTCTGAGGAAAATATTTATAACAATACACTTAAGATATTGTTTAAGTTATATTTATGGTTATAAAAAACATGGCTTTAGGAGCAACTCTACTATTTTCTTATTTTACAATTTTAATAGCAGAAATAACTGTTGGGAGAATCAGAATTTACCATTATAAGGCAAGATCAAAGGAGAAAGAAAAGATAGTTCCTGGAAAAATAAGTTATAATGCCAATCCAAAAACAAATTTGGAAAAAACAAACAAGGAAAATTACTTAGATGCTTTAACTCATAAAGCTTATTACAACAGTAGGAAATATTAACTAGTATTTTCATATCTTTGCAGTACAATAAGGGGATGTCACAATATGACTCCAAGAAAATGAGGAATGTTCTAAGACTACATTCTCCAAATAATCTGCTTAAGTCTTCTGTTCCAACAAATCAATTTTCTATAGCACACTTTAGTTACACAACTACTGGTTGCTGTGGGCTTTAGTTTGGTGGATCCCGCTGCTGGCAGAACAAGGCAATTCCTTGATGAGCCTGACACAGATGACCAGCTCTAATCGCAGATTATTACATCAGAATCTGCATTTGTGACTCTGATGGGCAGCAGGATAGAAAGCTTTGACTTTAAGCATTTCAACATTCAAATGAAGATCCACCAATGTCTATCTGCCACTGGGTCCTGAGCCACAAGATACAAAAGTAACATTTTCTCAGCTCCAATCTAGTGTCTCCAAATTTAAAAAAACCAAAAAACCCAAAGAAACAAACAAAAAAACCCCACACAAAAAAAACCTCACAGCAGTGACAGGCTCTACCTGCTTTCTTCTACCTATTTTGATAACCCAAAGCCTTTAGGAAACCCATTCCTAATCACTCATGACACATTTATATCATATATTTGGACACCTGATTTTACATAATTCAGCACTTTATTAAATATTGCCTTATGCTCATGTATCTGTATTTTCTACATTCCTTAAATCCTCATTTCTATCTGTATGAATCTGTCTTATCTACTTCCCACTCCTTTGTCAATAACTTAGTTAAGTACTCATCTTCTCCTTGATCTCTCTTGATCCAGTCAATTCTTCACTTTGTTACCTGAGTCATCGTCCCCAGCGACCCCTCCCTGCCTTGACCCACTTTATCATGGTACTCCATGCTAGCTCCTGTTACCTTATGAGGTAAAGTTGAGCTCCTTAGCCTAGCATACAAAGATCTTCCCAATTTGATTTCAACTATTGTTTGGTTCCCATCATCCCCCCGTATATGTGTACCTTATACTTTCACCACAACAAACAGATCCTGTTCATGATATTCACTCTGCTTGGCATGCCCTTGTACCCTTCTGCCAATTCACAGTTTCATTCAAAAGTCAGCATACAAATATCCTCTTTTGTGAAAACTTCCCCAAATATATTGGACTGAGTTAGTTAGCCAACCCTTTTTCTGCTCACAGCTTTGTCCAGTTATTCCATGATAATTATCACAATTAGCTATGTTACAATCATCAACTTATAATAATTAAACTGTGGTCTGCTTAAGACTGGAATCTGGTTTTTGAAATCTTTGTATTCCCAGAGAATATCACAGGCACCTAGAAGGGGGCACCACCAAATCAGATGAGTTGGCTGGCCATAATCAGTGATCAAACTAACTTTTTTCATACTTCTAAGCTGAATTTCTTAGAAGTTATACAGCTCTCAAGAATGGGCATAGTCCACGGCAAAGAGTAGTGCACTTGACTTCTCATCAATCTAGAATATCCCTGGTGTTCTGATTCACATGCATCCTGGTAGAAGCATATTCTACCAGAAGCTTTTAAGCAGTTCAAGAAAAGAAATCAAGTTTCTGGAAATAAGATAATCAGAATCTCAATTTCATTATAACTTTGGGGGCCTAATAACTACCCATCCTGGTTTACATGTGAGGTCACTGCACTGTGTAATGAGTCTCTCTAGGCACTACAGAACAGTTTGGAGCTTTTCATAGACTTTTAATTTATTGAGCAAATGGCTAATTATCAAAATTTAGCTTCTTTTTAATATCCACTAAATATTCCCAACACCGTAAGGTATGTTAAAATCATATTAAAACTGTAGTGTTTTTTTCCTCCTAAGTGATTCCTTTCTAATCTGAATAGGGCTTATTTACTTACTTATAATCCTTATTTATATAAGCCTTGCAAAGGATCATCTGGGATTATGGCTACACATTGTGGTCTGGTAGGTAGGTAATATTTCAAATAAGTATTAAATAAAAGTAGAGAAACTCAGATACCATAGGACACAATTAGGAGAAAGCAGGCATTCTCCTAATTGAAAATTTAAAGTAAAATTACTGGTTGGGGAACAAAATTCAGACTTAAGTTTGCCACCATAAAAAAAAAAGATTTCTGGGTATCAGATTATAAATACTTAAAAATGTCAACTTTTTAAATCAAATCCGGAGGTCTAAATTCAAGTTTAAAACGTCAATTAACCATTATTTATCTTAGAGCCTCCTGTCACACTACAGACAAAAGAAAGTATTGAGCCATATAATTTTAAACACTGGACCTGGCATTCATAAATTTGGATATTATTTCCAAAAAGTTAGAACATCACTGCTATTAAACCAAATATTTCTCTACATTTCCTGATAGTCATAAGTCAATATATTTTGACTGAGTTCTAGATTTTTCTATATAATGTTCTTGCCTGGCCTGACAAAAATTCATAATACTATGAATGATTATTTTCACTATCTTTTAGGGGTTAGAGAATAAAATAGAGAGTTTCTTTATAGCTACATCAAGTCTTCCTTCCCATAAAGTACTTTAAGTTCTTTAAATAAAATTAACTTGACTGTATAATAACTAAGAGATAGGAATAATATGGAGAAACGGAAGTTAAAGCTTAAGGATACCAAGCTTAAAAGTAAAACTTTAAGCTTAAAAGCAAAACTTAAAGGTAAAGCTTTATTTTAGTTTATAGAACTTGCCCTTTCCCAAGAGACCTTAACTACAGCTGCTGATAAGCAGCAAAAATCAAGTGTTGCCTTTTTATTTCTCCTGCATTTTTCCAAGATTACAATCAAAGATAAATGCCTTAAATGCAAGAAAAGAGAAGCCAAAGGCACACAGATGATCTACACATTAGCTGGCCCTTGAATACTTAACAGACTATAAAATAAACATTTAAAAAATGCCCATACATATCTGTTTGAATCAATAAATATAACAGCATCCTTTATATTTCAAATAGATATGAATTCTTTAAACTACAAAACACACCAAAGATCCATTAATTTAAACTGCTGAAAATATACGTTATCTTTAAATGCCACTTCTCCAAAATCCACATTAAATGACAAAACCATTTTTACATTTCATTAATAAATGCTGGCTGTCTTTGCTCAGAAACATCTAAAAAGAATGCCTTGTGTCACTTTCTCCAAATCTTTCTATTCGGCTCATTTGAAAAAATGCTACCTTTACACTCTTCTTCCCTTCCTACTTACTTCCTCTTTTCTTTTTGGAAAGTGATTATTAGCATGTCCTCTTTAAAAGAAAAAAATAAAAATAAAAAACAGAGAAGTGAAAAGTGAGAAGAGTGATTAACAGCTAAGGTTTTGAAGTTTTCAAATTACTTCAGGGACAGGTGGGACATATATAAAATTAACTCTACAGGGATATAATTTATTTTTAAAATCAAGATGTGAACTTTGTAGCATTTTCAAAGCAACACAGTAAACCACAGTAAGACAAGACAGAGGCTCCTTTGCACAAGGGGAATCTTCGAGCAACAGCTCTGTATTGTTTTGCTAAATTTGATTCTAACAGATGTCAACATACTACTTAAATAAAAGCCATATCATTTGGAGTATCAAAATAAAAGATGACATTGCATAAATACTTACATATGTAGTACATATTATGTGATGAGTAAGCATACAAATAAAATAGTATGTACATAAGTGTCACTACACTGAAATAAGCTGTATGTGTTTAATAAAACATACACTTAATTAGCAAACGACGAGGTTAACCAAATCAGTTGTCACAAAATGCTTCTTTAAGACACATGTACCAGATTTTAAAAACACACAATTTTCTTTCACCAAAATAACTAGAAAATACAAGGAATGGCAAAAAATATTCTTTCCACCATTAAGCAAACAAAAATTGAAAAGCCTGCCACCATTTCCCTCTAAGCACTCCACTGAATCATGCATATCAGCTAAAAACCATAATGAATGGAAATTTGGGTTAATAAAATTAATTTCAAACAAGCAAGCTAAGTGATTGACTTACAGGATCAGCTGGTGCAATGTTAGAATCAAATTGGGTCAGAGTTTGTGAGCTTGAAGAGCGTTCACTAAATGTCTCCCACTGCTGAACAGACAGAGGAGAGACAAGTCAGCACGATGAGAAAGATGGAGTAAAAGATCACTGGAGAAGATTTAGCAAAGTAATTCAGAGGTTGCACTGCAAGTTGTGTTTCACAGGTCTAACAAAATCCCATAATTTCTATTTTTCCATAAACATTTTATACTTATCTATGCTGGGTCATCTTGTAATGCAGGGTGAGCAGCTTCACAATCAAATGTATAGTAACAATTTTATGCAATCTCTATGGAAGAGATTAAAAACCTTGAAGAATTAAAACTCAAAACACAATATAGGAACAGAGTCTAAGTGATACAAATGGCCACCAAGTAAAAAATGTAAAGGGGCTTGTCTTGACTAGAGAAAGAAAGATCACTTCAAATCCTTCTTCTAAAACTCAGATGTTAATGTATTGATTAGGTGATGCTAATGAGCCAAAGTTTTGGTCAAAACCAAGCAAGTCAGTGTGACTTGCCAGTGCGACCCCTGAAAGATGATTCTACTGTGTACGTGCACATATTTCACACATATGTACAGCTACTTAATAAAATATAATTGAGATAAAATGCAAAGAATTCTAAATTAATATGTTTGAGCTTATGTCAATCTGTAGCAAGTCAACCCCTGCAATCAGCACTACAAACAGGGCCATGCCAAGTCACAAGACAGAACTGCCAATCAGGCACCAGCCCCCCCCGCCCACCCCATGCTAGAAAAATAAGAATGCGGACACAATGAGAGCAAATCAAGCATCTGAGCATGTGTTATATATAGAAGATGTATTCTGATATGAAATACTATTCTACTAAAAGAGGTACACAAAGAAATATACCTCTTAAAACAGGTGGAGTGTTAAGTCAATATTAATTATAGCAAATTCTATTTGTTTTGAAGATTGTAATAATAAAATACTATAGAATTTTTACATCAAAATCGTATTAAAATTATCATTTAAATTATGATTTGTAAGAATTATCAGTTATCCTCTAAAGAAGGAAAAACATCTACACATATACGATATACACACAATGTTTACACACAGACACAATTATCCCATTAACCAAAATCCTCTTTTCATAATTTAGTTTTGGAAAGTGTACATTTTTATGCTCCAAAGTTCAACTTACTATTTAAAATAATGATATTCAATTTGAGAAGACATGTAGAAACTAAATATTAGCAAATGAGCACAATGGCTAATACAATCATTCAACAACTTATCCTACAGATTAGTTTTACTATGAAAATTAAGATATACCGAGAAATAATGATGCATTCAAAGTGTTTCATGAATGAAAAAGCCTACATAATTCACTTTTATCATGGGACATTTCTTCAGGGAAGTGACTGACCAATATGTTAAATATAACTAGTTTCTTCAATAATTGTTGCATGCATGCAGAAGGGATTTTTAAAATTCTAATTACCTAACTGTGGAGAAAAGTTTAGACGCAGAAGATTTTTGCCAAAAAAAAGGTATTTGCCTTTGTATCTCATGTGCGTGGCATGAAATTTAACTCAGTTTCACAAGACTGTACGTAATCTACTTGAGAGAACAGAGACACTCTTATCTTCATGACTCATATAACGGTTAAGAGCACTGGCTCTGGAACCAGACTACTGGAATCCTAGTTATGCTGTGCAACCCTGCTCAAGTTACAAAACCTCTCCATGCTTCAGTTTTGCCATCTGTAATACCTTTTGAACAGAACTAGCACATTAAAAGTGCTCAATAAATGTTAGGAATTATTATTAGTGTTAAACCTGGTAGTGCTTCATTCTTATTCCTAGGTGCTGAATAAATATATGTTGAAGAATATTAGTGCTTTGTGGTAGACAATTAAAATATAATCTAAATTCCATATCCTGAGTAGAATTTTTATAAATATCATTAAAATGTCTCAAAAATCAATGTTTTATTAGCATCTTGATTTTTCACAAGTAGCAAAATAATTACTACATTCATGACCTTATTACCAAATGCTAAAAAATAAAAAATAGGATTATTTAAGAAGAAAAATGCAACTACTGGAATCAGAAGTTAGAAGGTACGTGGGCTTTAGAATTGAAAAGCTTTAGAAAGAGTTGCTTTTATTTACAAAATGATATCAATGGAATAAAAATACTTTTAATCTGATATGGCTTTTTAAAAAATGACAGAAATGAAAAAATGCGTAAAAAATAGTAGTGTCAAGAACACTGACCCTATTCTCCATAAATCCTCTCTATACTAGCAAATTCTTTCAAGGCTTAATCCTCCCTCTAGAAAAACACTTACATTAATGATTTTACATCTGATGGTAGGACGGATGGTATGATGTTTTAATGCCACCAACATAGGTATCTTGGCTATGATTATGTCATAGAGCAACAGCAAGTAGTGTAAAACTGCCAGTTACTTCTGTTTTCCACCTGTCCAAAATTAACTAGCATGCTCTTTTTTTTTTTTTTTTTTTTTTTTTGTCTTGTCCGGCAACGGATCGCAACCCTCAGTGTCGCGCCCGTACCGGACCAGGACCGGCAACGGAATCGCAACCCTCAGTGTCACGTCCGCACCTCGCTCAGCCAGTGAGCAGGAACCGGTCTGTATGTGGGATCCAAACCCTCAGCGGGAGCACCGCCGCGCTCCCAAGCGGCACACTGGAGCAGTGTGCCACCGGGCCGGCCCTAGCATGCTCTTTAATCTAGTATATTTCTGGCTTTAAAAGACATGAAAGCACAGAAGCTTACTACTTTTTCCTGAAAGTCAAAAAACTTATTTTTGTAGCTTTACCTAATACAAAAACGGTAAGAAAAAAGAAAAGAAAATTGTTCTAACAAGCTAGAGCAGTGGTTTCCAAATGGAGTTCTCCAGAGCGCTAAAGTTTTTTTTTTTTTTCCTTTTTGTCTTTTGTCGTGACCGGCAACGGATCGCAACCCTCAGTGTCGCGCCCGTACCGGACCGGGACTGGCAACGGGATCGCAACCCTCGGTGTTGCTCCCGCCCCTCGCTCAGCCAGTGAGCGGCCGGTCTGTATGTGGGATCCGAACCCGCGGCGGGAGCGCCACCGCGCTTCTCAAGCGGCGCACTATAGCACTGCGCCACCGGGCCGGCCCCAGAGCGCTAAAGTTTTTTTTTTTTTTCTGTTTGTCTTGTCCGGCAACGGATCGCAACCCCCAGTGTCGCGCCCGTACCGGACCGGGACTGGCAACGGGATCGCAACCCTCGGTGTTGCTCCCGCCCCTCGCTCAGCCAGTGAGCGGCCGGTCTGTATGTGGGATCCGAACCCGCGGCGGGAGCGCCACCGCGCTTCTCAAGCGGCGCACTATAGCACTGCGCCACCGGGCCGGCCCCAGAGCGCTAAAGTTTTTTTTTTTTTTCTGTTTGTCTTGTCCGGCAACGGATCGCAACCCCCAGTGTCGCGCCCGTACCGGACCGGGACTGGCAACGGGATCGCAACCCTCGGTGTTGCTCCCGCCCCTCGCTCAGCCAGTGAGCGGCCGGTCTGTATGTGGGATCCGAACCCTCGGCGGGAGCGCCACCGCGCTTCTCAAGCGGCGCACTATAGCACTGCGCCACCGGGCCGGCCCCAGAGCGCTAAAGTTTAACAGAGGGGTCTCATGGATGTTTCAGGGGAGGTGGGACCTCAGACCCTCTTCCCTTTCCAATCACAGTGGCCCTTTTATTGTTACATATAATGGAGCTACAAAGTAAATGGGGAGCAGTACATTTATCTCAAATTATTTTGCTTATTATACTTGTTCATATATGACACATCTTTAATGCATCTAATATGGTTATATCACTCCATTTTGTATTGAAAAAAACTAATTATAAATAGTTTGGCAATGTAGAAAATACTTTTTTCATGTGGAAAGCCAGATTAGTGACTTCTCATAGCACTTCCAATGCTAAGATTCTAAATGTATATCACATATGTTGCTGTATTATAGGACTGAGGAGGCAGTGCGACACAGTGGACATGGCAGCTGACTAAATATCAAAAAACTTGTGTTCAAATCCTAGCTCTTACCCCTTATTGGATATGAGACCTCAGCCAAGTCATTCACCCTTTGATCGTTAACTTCATACATCTGCCCCATCTAACTCACAAGGTTTTAAAGGGGATAAGTGGTGGAAACCAAATGACAGTACTACTCATAAACGTACTTTGAAAACCTCAAAAAGTCACATAGTTACAAACATTTATTTATCATAGTCATATCTAATATGTTCTCTCAACTATGCACACATGCTGAAAGAGGTATATGCTGAAATCACCCTGTTTGGGACTTCTTACCTTAAAAAAGTTAACTTTTAATGAAAGAAAAGGGAAGCTTTGCTAACCTCACTGCTCTGATTCAGCTCAGGCCAAGTCTGGTTTAGTGACGGCATTGAGGGTGACTTGCTTGGAGGTGCCTCAGCAGGAGAGCCTGAATAACCTACCTCACTTTGCTGATCCCCAACATCTGTTTAAAAATAGAAAAATTCTCTGTAAGCAATATATTTTAGTTTAGGAATATTTACTTAAACAAAATGTAACAATATCACAAGCAGTAATTTATAATCTGAATTTCCTTTCCTTATGTTCCCAAAGTAAACATTTTAACAATCAAACAATATTCCTGCTACTTATGGTCCACTTGAAACCAAACCTTCTCATGAAAATAAATCTAGTTAAAAATAAGTAGAAAGAAGAGTGTTATACATAATAATAATGCAATGGGTCATGTGCTTTGAATAATTTTCTGATGAATGGATTTGTACCACTTTTCCAAAAATGGATAATAATGGATTTTCTCACTATTCTATGGAATAGTAATTGGTAAGGTGGCTTTGAAACATTAGGTTTTCTGCTTAAATAAGTTTGGGGATACTATAATTCCATGCACATCTGTATATCAAGACATGTGATGTCCCAGAGTAAATAAACTTTGTTCAGTTTTTCCCAAACACGAATTCTTTTCATCAAATAAAATCCCTCAATATTCCCTTGGATTATACCTTGGGAACTTCTGGTTTACACTAATTCACTCACATTTTCTCTACAAATCTCCCTTATTACCAAAAAGCACCACATATTTGCAAGGAAGACAGCAAAATGAGAGCCCCCAGTCATGGGCAAAAAGCAAAGTCAATGAGGCCTTATGAAACAAACTTTTATCATTAGACTTATTGGCACTTACAGACTTAACAGAGAGACAGGCAAATCCATGATACTATTTCAAAATGGCTTTTAAAGTATTTTGAGGTTTCATATTCTATCTATCATTATAGTTAAGCACGAACTTAAAATAACTAAACAGAAGGAATTTCAATGGTAACTAAATTCTCATTCCAATTTTTCCAGGTTTAAATGGCTCTGAATATAATCCCAGTCAACAGGAAGTACTTAATCTATTTAGGACCCATACCAAAAATATGATTCTGATATCTGTTACTGTCTGACCATGGGCAAGTCGAATAAAACAGCACCTGAGTTTCTCCATCAGAAAGAAAGACATTTGCCTTTACATGTTAGTACTTTACTTCAGATTACTAAATAGACAGCCATATAACCTAGTGATTTATAGATTTTAATCTCTCAATCTATTCATAAGTAACTTCTCAAGTTTTAGTGTGTAATGTAGGACCTAATACATAGTAGCACTCAAGCATTTATTAAGTTGGTTTTTATGTTCTTTATTTAAATGTATTTGCCTTTACTGTCATTTTCCTAGAACCACAATTAACTATTGACAGTTGGGAAAGTTCTAAAAATTTTCCTTCTGCCTGTTCTATTACATGATTCTCAAAATATTTATTTACCCTAACGTTATAGCTTTATAATTATACCACACTGTGAATTCTAGTTTGCAGGGCAGCACCATATTTTGATTTATTTTTGTTTTCTAAGATCAGGAACCATTTCTATTTCTTTCTTAGTACTATATCTGCTTGAAGAAAAGTGTCAGGGTAGTATGGAACTAATAGGAGGCAGAAAGGCTCCAGGTATTGTTCTTTAAAGTTCTTAAAGAAGAACTAATGAAAAAAATATTTAAGATAAATAATAGCAGCAAATTTCTCATTAGATAGTTAGGAGTTTTCAGTGGGAACAAAAATTGGATCTTTTATCCCCCATGATAAGAAAGAGAAAGGAAGTTAAGGAAAGGAGGACAGAAGTTATAAATTTGACAGTTCACTGAAAGTGAAAGTCAGCCAGGAGGATAGTGAATGAAAACGTGCCTTTAAGAGATCTCCCAAAGCAGTGGAGTATTAAAGAAAAGAAAGATAAATTAAAATAGTATTAACTATAAGATGATTAATTCACACACAACAACAAAATTTAAAGCCAGACTCTATTCCCTTACTTTTAAACATCATCTTAGGGCAATCTGAGACCCTGGTATGGCTTTCAAGATCTCAGTTCTCATGATGTTGTCTTCTGACAAATTTAGGGCCAGACTGTACTCCACCCTACCTCAGGGCAGTTATAATTTGGGATAGATCCTTTTTTTGGGGGGGGGGGGGATAGAACCTCTCTGATTCACTGGTAGAACACTACAGTGGGTCCAGCCTCTTGAGGCTGAGAACTGAAATGCTCTTCACCCAAATAATACTTTATAATTATTCCAATTTAGTTATTTTCCTAGAGTAGCAGTTCTCAAACTGTGGACCATGAGCCCCTTCCTCGAGTCCCCAGAACTCTTTTAAGGGTGTAAAAAGTCAAAATTATTCTTGTAATAATATTAAGAATGCTTTTTCCCTATGTTGACATTTGCACTGATGGTGCAAAAGCATTGGTGGGTAAAAGGGCTAACTAATCAGCAAAAAAACAAGACAGTGGCAACAAAATATACTAATAGTCATTGTACTCTTCACCCCCACACCTATAAATTTTTTTTAATTTTAATATAATATAAATAAAAATAAATATGCCTACTGATCTCACTGAAGAGTGTTCAGGACAAAGTAGTAAAAATTAATTTTATTAAATCTTAGCCCTAAAAACACATCTTTTTAATACTATGTGTGACAAAATGGGAAATATATATAAAGCACTTGTGCTGCATATTCAAGTACAATGGCTGTCCCAAGGAAAAGTACTTGTATGATTCAAGGTGAACAGGGCACTTTTTTCATGCAACACCATTTTTCTTGAAAGAAAAGCTGATAAACTACAATTATTCAGACTTGGGTACTGGGCAGGCATTTTCCCCAAAATTAACGAAGTCAGCCTGTCACTTTAGGGAAAGTAACTGATTTCAGTATTTGTTACTAAAGACAAAGCTCAAGCTTTTAAATGAAAATAAGAATTTAGGGAAATGTTTATCAAATTACATATAACAAATGTATATGTTGTCCATAAGCTCAAGAGCTTCCCAGCACCCACAGACTTCTCTGAGAGGCTGTGATATTAATATGCTTTTTCGATACTTTATAATGAAATATCCCAACATCTGAAAGATATATATAACTCAATGAACAGATAATTTACAAATAACTAATGCATTATGTTACACAATCATGCATGGAAAAAGCGTTCATTCAAAGTACAAGACAGACCAATGGATTTTAATGAAACAGTACTAAAAATTCATGAAGATGGTTTCAGCTTCCACAGTGCAACTAACCTTTAAGAAATTACCATTTGTGTTTTGACTGTACCAAAGAATATCCACAATATCTGGAAAAGCTATAAAATAATCCTTCCTTTTACTATGTGAGGCTAGATTTTCTTCAGGTACTTCGGGGATTGGCAATTTTTTCTACAAAGGGCCAGATAGTAAATATGTTAGGCTTTGTAGGCTATGGTCTCTGTTGCAGTTATTCAACTCTGCCATTGTAATGCAAAAGCAGCCATACACAATTTGTAAATGAATGAGCATGGCTATGTTCCAGTCAAATTTTACTGATGGACACTGAAATGTGAATTTCATACAATTTTCATGTGTAATGAAATATTTTCTTTTGATTCCCCCCCACCCCAATGATTAAAAAGAAAAAAACTTTCTTAGCTTGTAGGCTATACAAAAATAGGGAGCAGACTATACCTCAAACAAAATAACATATACAAGAGATTGAATACAGAATTAAATATGACTATCTAGCTGTCTTTTATTACGCCAGATATTAAAGAGATTTGCAAAAAATGTAAAACAATGCTACTCTTTTCATATTTTTTTTAAATTTTGGAGAATATCAACAAATGGCAGTCAGTAGAAAAAGTGCAAACTACCTATGTCCTAGAAACCAACAATCAAGAGTCTGAGGAGAAGCATTAGGTCTGGAAATAAACTGCACCTCCTTTAACTTTGCTTCCTATAAATACTCCAACAAAGAGCTTCCTGCCCGCCCACAAATGTTAGTCTTTAAGACTGTATCCTTCTGGAGGCAGGGATGTCGTTTTACTCTTACCTGATGCAGTGTTCCAACCTAGCCTCCTGCTGGAACACTGTGTCAACCCTGCCTCCCTCCTGAGGGTTCTGCTCTGCCCCTGACATCATCAGAGCATCAGGGCTGAAAAAGAAGAGCATGAGCCTGAATTATTTGTTAAAGTTAACCCCAAAAGGGCTGTTACGCAAAAAGTATCTCCATATATAAAAGTGTGTCTGGGAGTGACAACCTGGTGTGATCATGCTGACATATGGTTGTATTCTAGATTTATAAACACTGGCAGTAGTTTTCATCCTTCTATCTTTCAAAGAATCTGGAAAGTTCCTAGCTTCAGTTCAGTACAGTGTACCTGTGGAACAACCTCTTTCTTAACCTGTTTTATTCTAGGTTTGTAACCTAGATCCTAAATTTGTCTTATTTTCATAATTTTATACTTGATAAATTAAAAAATTATCTCAAAAGTGACTGCCAGCTATTATTAATCTTATAGAAATATACACACTTCCCTAAAGTCTCATGGTTTAAAACTTACTTTGCTTTTAAGCAGCAAAGAAATCTAGGAAGTTCTTCCATCATGAAGGTTCAAGGTTCCAACCTCATTTAATAGCTTCATCAAGGCAAAAGTAACCATATCTTCTACTTATCTGAGATGTGACTATTATTCTCGCAAAAAATATTTAAAAGAAAAAATAGGTTTCGATGAGTTTTAAATCTTCAAGGAAAACTACAAATGCTGACTTTTTTTATTAATCCAGACAGGTATAAGCAATGCATATGCAGAAAGAAATTAAAGACCGAATTTAAGATATGCTTTGTTTTGTCTTGAGTGATATTATATGCATTAAAAAACTAAGTTCTATTTTCAAAATGAGCTCTACTTATCCCCCAACATGCCACAAAATCTAAACTTATTCAGTGAACAGAACTTAAGAAGTTCTATGTAGAAGTCTTATCAGTTTTAAATTAAAAATAAAGGTTTCAAAAAATATAAAAGTAAAAATGTGTCCAACAAGGTTTGAAAAAAACAACAACCATCATTTACCTAAAGTTCTAATTAAATTTTATCTGTTGACTTTTTTACAATACTGATTAA